TTATTTTCCACATAAGTTGGATCTTTGATAAATGGCACTAGAAGCAGCAGCTCGTAGCTGTTCAAAACCTACACGCACAGGCGCACACACACTGAGGACTTAATAGCGCGATAAGCAGAACGCTGAATAGCTCTGATCGACTGAAACGTGAGTCGTTTGTTTTTTTTTTCAAAGTCACAAGGGTGTTATGGGAATGGCAAACAGTAAAATTATTAAATTTGCACCTTGTATTTGTACGAAAAATTCACAAATTTCCTGAGAAACAATACGTTTTGAATCGAATTGATTTATATTAGTGAACCGATAATTGAAGAATTCCTATTTTTTAATATAATAGTACAGCGTGTCCTCCGTAATTATCGAAGTTACAAAGATGCAATCCCTACTTTTTTGATACTCTAAACATGATATAATCAGATTCTAAATAGCACCTACATTTCGTGAGCTACGAGAGAAAATTGAAAAATGAAGATGAAACACATTTTGATTTTTCATTGCAATTTTTTGGAAAACATTTCAAACTTAAAGCTTTTCCCTTTCCAGGACCGTCATCAGAGTTAGTTACGGTATTTTTTCTTATTTCCTTACAATAAAATTAGTTTTTATTGCGAATTAAATTAATATAGTGTCACAAAATATCATTTTTTAATTATAGCACTGTTATTGTTAACTCACTTTACAATCCTTATTTAAGTGTAACTGTCAGTTTGAAATATGCAATCCCTCTGTTAAAGAGAATATCAGAATACATACGAGGTGTGTGCAAAAAGTAAGGTGACTTTTAAGTTTTGTGAAAAAGTATTTATTTATTTAGCAAAATTATTATTATCAAAGTTAGCCTCCCAGATATAATACACTTGTACCGACGTTTTTTCCAATTTTCGAAGCACTTCTGGTAAGCCTTCAGTTCTCCCAGCGATTTTTTCTTTATCTCCTGAGTCGTTCCAAACCTCCTTCCTTTCATTCGTGTCTTGAGTTTTGGGAACAGGAAAAAGTCGCAGGGGGCCATATCCGGTGAATATGGTGGCTGAGGCATGACCGTGGTTTTGTCTTTGGCCAAAAAGTTAGACACATGCAATCATGAGTGAGGAGGTGCATTATGGTGATGCAAAATCCATGAATTGTTTTCCCCAATTCCGGACTCTTTCTTTGTATTGCTTCTTGCAAACGGCGGTTAGCTTCAAGCTCTTTATTAACCGTACGACCTTGTGGTAAGAACTCTTAAGGTAACACGTCACGATAATCAAAGAAAACGGTAGGCAAAACCTTGACATTTGATCGAACTTGACGTGCTTTTTTCGATCTTGGCGATTCTGGGTTCTTTCATTGGGGACGACTGGGCTTTGGTTTCGACGTCATAACCCATGATTCGTCACCACTTATGACCTTTTTGAGCATATCAGGATCGTCATTGACGTTGTTTAACAGCTCTTCAGCTATGCTCCTTAGAAGGTCCTTTTGTTCAAAATTAAGCGGTTTCGGAACAAATTTTGCTGCTACACGTTTCATGTTTCATAATATTGTGACTCTACAAACAACTCTATGGAGGGTGGCTATTGGTTTCATCTTCTTATAGCTTGATTTTCAGTTTATCCAACAAGTTCGATTTGATAAAGGCAATATATTTTCCTTCTTATTAGGTTCCTGGTCACTATTGTCCATACTGAGAGTTTGAAAATCACTATGATTATTCCTTTTCTTCAATTCGCAACTATTAATAATATCCCTTATCGACGATATTTGCGTTTTTGTAAGTAGACAGGTTTCTTTTAAATCTTGTTGTTGAATATTAAAGTTTCAAATTTTTTGTTATATTCTCGTAAAATAACTTTTTCGAAACGCACAGTAAAAACAGACTATTATTCAACACTATCACAAATGGTCAACACTCAAGAAATATATCAGAAAGAAAAAAATATACCTGGCCCACCCCTGCCTTGTCACTCAAGTAAGAACATTTTTTTTTCTTAATGGCTTCACCCAATAACAATAGGTAATAACATCGTTAGAGTTTTGTTGTTGTTGCGCCCAACAAAATTATTACGAACGGTAAACTCTTAATTAGCCAAGTCAAGCATGGAGCAGTTTCTTTAAAGAACCATAGGCAAGTTTAGTTTTATCAGTGCAATTAAAATAAACAAACAAGGTAAAAAGATATTTGAAGATTCGCAAATTGAATGTTGAAGGAATGTCCTTTACATTCGGCAATGAATGATTTGTGATATATTGTTAATACGGAACATACTGAAGAAAATTGGCGATATCAGGAAGAGAGCGAGGTGTGGCGTTTAACCTTTGTCAACATCAGAACCCAATTACAGACTTAAAGTGCAATCGATTTCGGTGTAAAGTCTGTTCATAGATATAAGAAAGTGCCTAACTGATACGAATTAAGGAAAGACCCGGGCAAGCTCTAAGACTGAAATATGGCCGACAGGTCCGTACTTTGCTTAGAATTTAATTATTTGGGGTGTTGTTCGGAAAGATACTAAACAATATTTATTTATTTATGTATGTATTTATGTTTAAATTATTCACATACTATATCAGTATCAATATCGCTATCATTGACTGTTCTAATTATTATTTGTTCTATATTAATTGCAATATGGATATACGATTGTTCTGCTTTTTCTATATGTTTAATATGTGAATTTGCCCAACTTTGTGCAGGGATGTTAAAAACTTCGGTTTCTATAAGGAGGAGGACATTGGAGTTAATACGGGGAAAAACTTTGTTAAGACGAATGGCAGATTTCAGTTGATCCCAAACATGTTCAATGGGATTAAATATAGAGTGGTAAAGTGGAAGCCTTGAAACTGTATGCCCTAGATTTTTTGCATAATTATCAAAATCGTATTCCTTTTGTAGCTTCAAGCTTTGTAGAAATCTTCGTGAAAATAAATGTCGAAAATGAGGAAGGGGTTTTAGTCAACTGTCTACTGTGATAACTTGCATTGTCCATTACAATGATGCTATTAGGAGAAATGTTTGGAACTAGTTTGTTTTCAAACCAACTTTCAAATAAATCAGCGGTGGTGTCTTCATGGTAATCCAGAGAAGAATCTTTAATATTTTTCACAGACAGAGAAAGTCCATTTGAAATCCAACCATCTTTAGAGCCAGCATGCAAAATAGTTATTCTTTTACCTCTTTTTGATGGCGCGTTTGTTTTACACTTATCAGTTGAGTCAACTCAACTCTTTTCCGGGGTATCATAAGTGTCGAACCAGGTTCCATCCAAGTAAATAATTGGCCTTTGTTGTTCTCTGTAAATCCTAATTTTTTCTTGATATTCCAGTCGCCATTTCCGAATTCTAAAAGATTCTACTAAAACTTGCCTTTTGTCAATTTTTTTAAATTTAAAACCCATATGTTGAAAACACTTTCATAAAGTAGTTCTGCCACATTTAACACCGGTTTCATCTTTTTCAAGCCTCCTAATTAAGATATCTAATGTAGCCACGCTTTGTTCCTCGTATAACTGGTAAATTTTACGCCGTATTATATCTTGATCACTCTCATCTACACTCCAGAAAATGTCAGCATCGCTTCTTTTTTTCCTCGCTGAAATTGGATTATTCACAATTTTCCATACAGTTGATGTTGGAATTTTCGTCAATGTGGCCGTTTCTTCTAAAGATGCTTGCTTGCTGGCACCACGTTCAATGAGAGATAAATAAACATTGATTATAACTTCCTTAGTCTCAATAGAATAGTGTTTTTTACATTTGGGCGGGAGCATCTCCTGAGATACACTAGACTCGCACATATTTTGCATAATACGCACACGATTCAACACACTCTGTATTACACACGAAATAGGAATGATTACTAATAAACTGAAACTAAGTAGTATACCAAACCAAAGAATATTAAACACAGGTAGGTATAAAATTTTTTTCTATTACTGACCACAATTTTACCTGAATCTAAATTCCGAAACTTTAGGTAATAATCTTGTTGCATTGTATGTTAATGACCACCCTTGGATAATCCCATTCAAAAGCAATTGGTCACTTTCTTATATCTATGACAGATACCAAAGTTTATTTATAAAGGTTAAATTTAATAGAATAAAAATGACAATTGTGGAACTAAGGTTCTTTTCTGACACTATGTATACGTATATTTATACCCTACTGAAATTTAATAAATATGTTACGAGATCAATTTATAGTTGTGGACTTTGTTTGATATTTTTATTATTACGCAAACTGTGGGCTGTTATTATTTTTCTCTTGAAAAGAGCCAAAAATAAATTTTTGCAGAACTCGTGTTTTACTTATTATTCCAAAAACAAATATTTCGCTAAAATTTATGAATGTTTATAATAAACATGAATTATTACTAAGAATTAAAAACGCAGGTTTACCCGACACTGGCGGCAGTTCCATCTCGAGGTTTTGAGTTGTGCAACTGGCTGTACCTTTCCTAGATTGGTTCTACTCTATCTGTGTGTTTTATAATAATTATTAATTATTTTTATAATAATTATTAATTATTTTTATAATAATTATTAATATTTAAGCATTTCTTCCCCATTTTCAAACCGTACTAATACATGTGGTACTATCTACGTGATAGATACACTCTATTTGTTGATTGACGTAATATTTTTTGTTATTCGTCTGATCTTTTCTGACTTACCTTTTACATACAGAAGAGTGAGAGCGTGTCTTTCTTTAGATGGTATTATTCAGTACGACATTTCAAGGGTGAAAGATTGAGATTTAGCATTAGCATTAGTTTAGTGGAAATTACTTAAGTTTACACTTTATAGCGGCCCGAAACTTTGTGTATTTAAAAATAAAGGCAATGAAACTTTAAAGTTTTTAGTTGCATTTAAATCCAGTTTTTAACCAATGTTACCTGCTGTCGCAGACAGTTCGTCATTGTCATATTGTCAAAATCTGTCAGATGCTATTAAATTTTCATGCGCACAAGATCATTCTGTACGAATATATCATAGCCGCTTATTGATTTCGTTGTTACTTACCGAATGTGGACGAATTCGTCGTCGTCCGAGCCGTTATCCATATTCGATGTTTCATCGGCGTCCTGAAACAGAAACGAATTCGATGTACCTCGCGATAGTCTAAAAAATGTTATTTTTTAAGGAAATCAGTGGCGTGTCACTGACTGACTATGAACAAATAATATGTTGGTTAATTAGGTCGCCACTACACTTTTTTTGTGATCTATAGCAAAATATCTAGTTTTTACTTACTAACTAATGTCTTTCAGAAAAAAAATATTACAAGACTGTTTTTTTTGTACTTTTACACTTTTAATGAAAAAACATAACATCCTAAGAACAATATAAATACTAAACGATTATTATTTAAAAAAATACCTACTATTAATAATTTTTAACAAAATTGTCTGTTAATAAATTTATAACAAAAAATAAAATAATAGCATTTTTGAAAAAACTAGAATCTAGAATCTAGATAAGTTCTTGAAAGTGTCTTCCACCACCAGCTCTTCCTCATATTGCCGCGCACTCTTTGAAATCAACCTCCAGTGTTTCTTATTAAAGCTCTACAGACAGACAATTAATTAAGTAAGGAATAAAAATGATGTCATATTAACGATATTGTTATGACAATGCAGAGAAGAGGTTTTTAATTTTTTAAGCGAAAACACATTGAAGTGAAAATTCAAGAAATTGAATTTCTTTAGAAACAATTGGAGATCGTGAGAATAATTTTTATTTTGAGAGATCAATATCTGCGAAAATAGACATGCGAAATTCCGTCACTAACGTATTTTAAAAAATTGCATTAAAATACATGAACTGGTATTACAGATATAAAGAAAAATAACCAAAAACTAACCAAAACTTCACCACCCCGTATATCAAAAGTTAAGAAGTTTAAGACATATGTGTAAAGTCTTCTTTTTAAAATAGAACCAAAAATCGCCCCCCTAATTATTGAGATTCAATTAGAAAACACCCTGTATACAGATATTCGATTATTAGACTTCATTATTGAATATTTGAATTACGATAAACGCTTATCGTTGTTGATTTTTATACAATTGCGATCGTAAATGAGGCAACTCGGAGGAGCAAATTTCAAATATTGATTTTCCATACCCCCACTATTAATTTTGGTAAAAAATTTAAAAATCTAATACTTAAATGGTATGCTATTGTCAAATATACATAAAGTACATTTTATTTTTTGTTTTTGCTGGTCCCTGAGTTATTCTTGTATACTGGCAGTAAATACGAGTAGAATATCGGATTTGCTACATCCTGTGTCAACACGTCAAAAGATTAAAAGAAGATTCTAATGGGTTAAATTGGTTAGGTATGGCACACAAACATAAATAAAGTGTGTTTGTTTATAGGCTGCGAATGGTAAGAGATCCAAAGAAAACTGAATTATTTCAGCAGATCCATTAGCTAACTTCATTCCGTTAAAGGATATGACATGTAGAGACAGACAAATCCCAGTTTTTTTGTATTTTACACCATTTAGCCTATGGCCTATAATATCAACCAAAATTACTCCACACTGTACAGTGTGTGTTTATGGTTTTACGTCGTATATTCCTTATTAATAACCTGCACAAACAAAAATGTCATTGGTATCTTGAATTATTGTAGATTTAAGACCTACTTTGTAGCTCGGTTATGCTTAGAAAAAAAACGCACTGGTCTGGATATAGTTTTTAGGTATGATCCCGAGGTGTCATTTTTTCATTTAATTGATATAAATACAGGTACAAAGCATATATCTATTTTTTGTCAATTTTTTATGGGTATGTCATAAAAAATATAGATTTTCTACACAAATAATTTATTTTTTATTTAATTTATTATCATTTATTACAGTTATTACTACGCCCCTATTTTATCCAATTTCTCATAATTGTCATATTTGGGGTTACCATAAGCCGTAGCAGAAATAAGGAGAAGGAAGAAATTAAAATGACAACTAAAGTATGTTATTAAAACAGAGATCTGTTTTGCATCGTCTACTTGTAAAAAATAAATTAAAAATGTATACTTTGCATTTGAAATACCCCATATTTGTGAAAAGCCCATAATAAGTCTAATACAAATATTAAAAAATATTGCAAGAACACCACTTTAGTTTGCATATGAGAAGTTAGGAATGGTGTCTTTCAAAATCATCATGTAACCAAAAATCCAAGATACATTTCGCAGGCCTTTATTAATAAGCGAGATACGTCGTGAAACCATAAAAAATGATACACACTGCACAGTCTTAATTGTTATTATTTATTTATTAGGGAAAGAACAAATAACTAAAGAATAATCCAGATTATCTCCCTAAGATTCAAAAACTAAAGCTTTCTTTTACATTTCAATTGCTCAATTGTGAAAGTACTAAACAAATATGAGGAAAGCCAAAAGGAAACCAATGAAATTTTTAAAACTTACTTCCACTTCCGACACGAAGCACGTGGAATTGCTGGAATTAAAGTTGCTGCTAACATTCGCCGGTATTTCCGTTCTCATATTAGAACTAATGATATCTACACCAATTGCTACCACTTAAACGGCCCGATGAGTTCTTATAAAATAAAGAAAAATGATCTTAAAAAACTATTTGTTTATGTTTATGGCATTTTAATGGCCTCGTGTGAACCGGTATCATACAGGTTGAGTCGAAATCGCATTCAATCTGGGATTTCAAGGTCATGGTTAATATCGGGTGTATGTCGTGTTACCGATTTTATAACCATCACGTTCTGCTCGATCCTATTATCATTAATTTATTAAAAAATAAGAATGTATTCGAGCAAAAGCTATTTAAATGTTTGTTCCCAAATCATCCCTTTAATACTTACATGTTCCATCTATCCACAAGCTTATTACTTGAATATTGTTAACTTTTTTTGCTGGTATCTTTTTCTCTATTTTCTATGTAAACCGTGTAAGCAATCAAAAGCTCACCCTTTCACCCCAAGAATGCTATTTTTTAAATATCTGACCTTAATATCTCAATCTAGGTTTAGGGTAACAACAGTGCCAGCATTCCTGCATGCCTAACTTATAATTATTATTATTAATTGAAAACTTTTTGAACTCAGGTGGCTTTTGCTTGATGAAAATCCATTTAAAACAATAAATAAGAACTAAAAGTTCAGATTTTCACGAAATTATATATATTCACTTGACAATTGTTTCGACAACACCGTGTTTTTATCAAAGTAATATTTACAAACTACCTGCTACTATATATACTGAAAAAAACCAATAAAACCTTAATTCAAGTTGTAATGTTGTAAATCTAATTGATCGTTAAGCAATGTCTCATTTTGTTCCAATAAATTTAGTTTTCTTTTTGTGGCCGTATGTAAAATATCAAAATTGTCATCAAACATGTGTTATTCTGTGTTTAAGTGTGTAGCATAGTTAGAATCTAGACTATTGTTTTTAAACGCTCTTTTATGTTCGTTAATGCGTTTCTTGAAAGATCTACCTGTTTGTCCAATATAAATTTTAGGTCAAGATCCGCATTTCAACCTGTGGTGATTTTTAAGATTTTTATTGTTTTTTAAAAATTTTCCTATTGTGTTGTTAGTACTGAAAACAATTTTTAAACCACATTTTGACAAATGTTTTGAAACTTTTTCACTGGGTTGTGCTATGTATGTAATTGTTTTAAATTGTTCGCGTTCTGTATTAGGTTTCGGATAAATAGAGTTTACTGTTATCTGGATTTGTTTTTTTATTTATAATTTTATCGATAATGGACGGATTGTAGCCGTTGTTCAGTACAATTTGTTTAATGTTATTAAGTTCTTTGTTGTAAATATTATGTTATTTTGAGAAGCTTTGTTTTTAATAGATTTTACTTGTGATATTTGTTTCAAAAAAATGTTGGCTACGGGACTAGATTCTAGGTAAAAATGTGTATCTATGGCAGTTTTTACCCCTTTTCCATTATACATTTTGGACCCTTTTACAGGGTATTTCAGTTATTTTTAAAGAAAGGAAAGCTTAAATGATTTTCAATTAATGTAAAAAATAATATACAAGGTGTTCCAGAGCCAGTAAAATTCAACGGAGATACGAGGGTGGTCCCAAAATCGATAGTTTTGGATTTCCCCCTGTATCTCAAAAACCGAGAAGCCCATGATAATTTGTTGACATCCTGAATTAAAAAGAAAAAATAACGAAGTGTCGCGGAAACCGCACTTTTTATCTTAAAAAATAAGCGAATATACTACAAAAGTGACCAAAATAGGATACCCAGTACGGTGCGTCACAAAAAGCGCAGAATTTCACCCTGTATCTCGGGAACGAAACAAGGTGGCATAATTCCGTTTTGCGCCATTCAAAGTTCCATGACACCCTGACATAAGATCGCGAAAACCGCAAAGTTCCATTTCTGCTGGTTGCCGAAAAACTATGTGATTAGCAGCAATTTTTTTTACAGCGTACTTTATTTAATGCTAAAATAGATATATTAGGTACGAAATTTAAAGAAGTTTGTCAATGTTTTGCATGCTATCAAAATCCTCATGGTGTATTTCCTCACCTTAGACATCAAAAGACTCGAATTTTCACTAGCGTTCGCAAAAACACTACTGACTGGCAGTAGTTACGCATATTTTACGGATATTTTTCAAATTTGAGACTTGCCTGTGCCTGTGCGCTTCTGACCATTTGTAGTTCATCCAAATTAGGCAGGGAAATGCTATTTCGTCTGTCCAAGCTGTCTCGTCTCTTACCGCCATTGTTTCGGGTAGTAGTCGTCCCCACTCTAGGTGTGCTTTCGTCATCCAAATCATCGTCGACGTAAGGAAGGTGCTGCAGGTTCTCTTGGGAAGGTCCGTCCACGACGATGGTGGGTACGTCGTCGCCGTTTACGAGGTTTTCCTTATCTCCCTTGGCGCGTCTGTCGTACGCCATCTTCTATTCTGTAACGGTTAGGTTAATCGCTGTTGTTCAACATAAAGAAATCGTACACAAATATGCAAATTTCTCACAAATAGCTTAATATTTATGACAAACAATTACGTTCCACGCGAACCAAGAGCCAGTGGCGTGGTATACGAATTATACCATTATTTCATTATGTTCATATTGTTTCAAAAATCAAAAGGGGGATATCGCGCTATAAAGATGTTGGAAAAATAACGTTTCTATTTTTTTTTATCTTAAAAACGCTAGAACATTAAATTAAAGTTATTATAAAAACGCACGTTTTGCATATATTTTTATTTTTTTTTAAATGATTGGAGAGGATTCCTGGCTAAATTTAAGAAAAACTTTATGCATTGGCGTGGAACAAATAAATTTCGATAGGCTGGTTAATTCGAAACTTTATTATGTGCTGCAATGTTTTCTTAAATCTCACTGTTTTTAAATAAAAATTTAAATTGGCTGCTGTCAAACAGTTGTATTTTGTACCAACCATTTATCAATCATCTTCTAAACAATTTTATTTAAAATATGATTTATTAATAAATTAAATGAAATTAATTGATCTAAAACACAATAAATAAACAAGACACTTAAGGCAATAGAAAAATTCGAATGTGGTAAAAATGCCTGCTTTGCCGATATAATACGCTGGAATATGCCGGGATTATTTATTAAGACGTTTCCATAGGCGATTATGTGACTTCTTAGTTGTTTGATATCTTGTATTGAGATAGTGTAAAGTAATGTCTCATTTAAGTCACATGTCCCGGGACCTGTGGAGGATATTCTTAGAATATATTTTAGCATATATGCTAGGGATTTACTGTAAAATACATCCCAGGGATATAATCTGAAAGGACAGCTTGCGGATTGACTGTACACGATATAATAATAATAATAATCAACTTTATTTCACATTGTGTCATAAATACATTATCTAAAAATAATATACCAAACACAAAGGATATTCTTACAAATTTCAATTACATCGTATTAATTAAACCATTATTTAAATATTAAAGAAAAAATCTTCTATGGAGTAAGGTTCTAACTCTATCAATAACTTTTTTATTGTATATTTAAAGATTTTTAGATTTCCAATTGATTTTACCTCATTTGGTAATTTATTATACAATCTCAGGCACATGTAATAAGGACTCCTTTCAGTTAAGGTAAATAGAGTAATTTACATTTAGGGTTCTGGTATTATATCTATGAAATATCTGTAGTTCGAAGTCCTTTCGATTTTTAAAAAAGAATGTCAATGCTTCATAAATATATAAAGCATATACAGTAAAAATACCTTCAGCCTTGAACACCCCTCTACAGCTCTTTCTAAATTCCATTTTTTTGACAGTGCGAAGAGTCATCTTTTGAACCACGAAAATTTTCTGTATTTGACCACTACCAAAAGATAATTCCATACCTCATGCGCGACTGAAAGTTTGCAAAGTACATAACTTTTAAAGTTTCCTTATTCATATAATTTGCAACGACTCTAATTCCATAACAAATTGAATTTAATTTATTTAGCAGATAATCAATATGTTCAGACCAATCAAGAAATTCGTCAATTTGTAAACCTAAGAATTTAGTGCTATTTACAATACTAATATTTTCTTTACCTATTCCTATTCCTAATGGTATTTCAACTCTACATAATTTAGCTCTAAACATACTTAAATTCGTTTTCTCTTTGTTTCAATTTATTTCCTAGAAACCAGTCATAAGCCCTTGTAAAAATATTGTTGGCTTTATCACTAACCTCAGTGAGATTATTTCCACCTACAAGCAGGTTGGTATCATCTTCATAGCATATTATGCTCTCTTCTTCTGACTGTGTTACGAAATACAAGTCATTCACAAAAATGGTAAATAAAATTTCACCAAGAATACTACCTTGTATACCACAGATATCTTCTAAGTAGATAGCCTGAAGATAGCCCCATGCGCCATAATGGGAACATTAGAATAGAAACCTAAAAAGTTAAATTTTGAACAACTGAGAATGAACCTACTTCAGCCTTGTTTATTATTATTTCTGAAGAAATAATAATTCATGTAGGTAAAACTTTATGATAATATATAACATAAGATTTGATTAATTTTAAGCTGAACGAATGATAATCAGTAGGGACAGGGTGCCTTATGTAAATGCGCAACTCGTCGTCGGCTTTGGAACGAGTCGAGAAATATAGATACTTGGGTAGTTGGCTGTATGACGATTGGGACAACGACAAAGAAATCAAAGCCAGAATAGAAATAGCCCGGAGCTATTTTCTCAAATTTAAACATATACTTACCAACAGAGACACAAGCCTGAACCTAAGAGGACGATACGTCGAGTGCTATATATGGTCCGTTCTATTATATGGTATGGAAACATGGACGCTCAAAATAACATCAATTAATAGATTAGAAGCGTTTGAGATGTGGACTTACCGCCGTATGCTGAGAGTATCATGGGTCGAAAGGGTTACAAACGAGGAAATTTTGAGAAAAATGGGCAGAGACAGAGAAATTCTATTACACATAAAAAAACGAAAAACGGCCTATTTCGGACACATAATGAGGAACCCAAAATATCGGCTTCTCCAACTAATCGTCGAGGGTAAGATAGAGGGCAAGCGTGGCGTAGGAAGGAAACAAATGTCATGGCTTAGAAACCTAAGGGAATGGACTGGCTTGAAAAATATCGGGGACCTTGTACATACAGTAATGGACAGGGTGGCATACGGAAATGTGATCGCCAACATCCAATAGTAGTGGATAGGCAGCTGAAGAAGAAGCTGACCGAACCATTGTTGTGAAGTCTACCAACATCATGCCTTGTATTTATTAATTTGGTAGGTCAATGAGATAGGAAGATCAGGCGGCGGGAGTAGTTATGAGTTTGTAAAACAAGCTGATTTCAAATGATCTTGCAATTAAATTTAATTGGTTGGGCATGAAGAAAAAGGAGCAATTTTCAAAATTAAAATTGGCCAAATTAATACTTGGTAAGTAAATATTATGTTTTTTAAAATAAATAGGACGGAAATGTAATATAAATAAAGTATAAGAAATATAATTTAATAAAATATATATTATGGTGATTGCTTACTTGATACTTTTTTTTAAGGAGTGATTGCTGGATCGAGTTAAGATAAAACTGACTTTTTTGTAACCTATATACGTTTTAGATTACATCTCTTTTTTGATTCTAGACTTCTTTTCGTATCTTATTGCTTAGTGTTTGAAAACAAAAATAAAATCCACTTTCTCTTTATGTATTTTGAGCAGTTAAATTTAGGCATACAAAACTAAATTATTTTTTTATTTAAGTAAGCAATATTAGACAAAATCTCAATGAACAAAATTATATTTTTAGTTATATGGTATAGTTAGTATATTTTTTTCTTAAAATGGATGCAAGAATAACCCCGCAAAAACAAAATATTAATTTTAGGAACCCTCCATAAAGTACAATTTTCACATTAAAATGGTTGTTGGGTTAATTCATGAAAACCTTTTTCTTATCACGAGCAAAAAAAACTAGGAAAATTTTTGGGTTGACAAAAAATATTCCATGAAAATAGGCTTTAGCTGTCAAACTGAAAAGTCATATTCGTTCTAGTTATAGTTTTATGCGCGCGATAGTACCTAATCTCTTGAAAGACATGAAAGTTTAATCAGTTTTGTATTTAATGAAATAAAATACACAAAAGTATATACCTGCATCATGATGGAGATTAGCATCTAAGACCACTTTCATCAAAGTACTATCAGTGTCAAATCAAGCCTTCACGTAAAAGGCGGATGTAGGGATTTTTTAAATCTGTTTTTTAAACATATAAGATACCAGTCTAGTTCTTTTTTTTTATATAAAGTATAGATATACTCAAAACTAAAACGTTTTCAGATGCGGATAAGAAGGCAAACACATCACAAACATTAAAAGAATGTTGAGCTGAAAAAAGCTACTTTCATCAAATAATGACAGAAAACCTGTCAAATATTAGTTATTATTTTAGACTTTAGTTGAAGGTATAGTATTTTACTCTATTTTTAAGATATTTTAGGTTAGGTTGTTCTCTATTTTTGCTGTATTTTAGACCTACAATTTTTTCATATATAAAATAGAAAAAAATCAAAATCAAATGTGTATAAAATGTGTTTTAGTAATGGTAATTAATCGGCAGTCCTTCACTTTTACCATCAAAAGCAAAATTAAAAATTAATTGGAAAAAACTACTGGACATTACCTTTCCAGTATTTCTCAGGGGCTGTTGGACATAACCAAATAATTAAGTAAGGTCCACTGCTATGTCTATATAAGATTCTATATCCTACCAGTCGGATATACTAACGACGTCTCAACTAGTACAACTGGATATCCTTAGTATGCCCTAACAAACATCCTACGGGCATACGTATCTGATATACTGTGGACGTTCCAATTAATAACATCGTATATCCTTGAGACGTGTTAAGGATGTCCCTTAGGTGAAACAGTATATTCCTAGGATATACTCTATGTCACGTCAGATATCCTGAAGATATTTTACAGACGTCCTTGTGCTATTTGAGACATGTCTGTTCTAGATAACAGGGCTACATTTTATAGCAAAGGAAGTAATTCTTCTTGTGGAAATCGAAAATACCAATTAATCATCACCTAATTTTGAACATAGAAAAAGAGGCCCAATTAAATTTCTAATCAAACTGATAGTGATATCTACATTCTGCTATTGAATGTGGATTATCTCTAGTCTTTACATACCTGGTGTGAAAGTATGGAATTGCATCCTTAGCTTCGCCCGAGAAGAGAATTTTTAAACAGAAAATTAACCTTCGATATTGATTCGGCGAAACCGTTGAGAAAAAATCATCCTCGGTTCGAAATCTCTTGGTATAAGAGTTTGTACATGGTATATACTTGTGTTGTGTTGTGTTGTTAATATTCTCCATTCATAATTCAGCTTCCTGGTAAAGTTTGTTCATAGATATAAGAAAGTGACTAACTGATACGAATTAAGGAAAGACCTGGACAAGCTGTAAGAATTAAATATGGCCGAACAGGTCCGTACCTTGCTTAGAATTTAATTATTTGGGGTATTGTTAGGAAAGATACTAAACAATATTTATTTATTTATGTATGTATTTATGTTTAAATTATTCACATAATATATCAGTATCAATATCGCTATCATCGCGTGTTCTAAATATTATTTGTTCTATATTATTTGCAATATGGATATAGGATTGTTCTGCTTTTTCTATATGTTTAACAGAATTTGCCCAACTGTGCAGGGATGTTAAAAACTTTGGTTTCTATAAGTTTGAGGACATTGGAGTTAACACGGGGAAAACATTGTTACGACGAATGGCAGATTTCAGTTGGTGCCAAACATGTTCAATGAGATTAAATATACTATAAAACTGTATATCCTAGATTTTTTGCATAATTATCACAGATGTATTCCTTTTGTAGGTTCAAGCTTTGTAGAACCTCAATTAATTGCTTTTTGGTATAATCCTCGTGAAAATAAATGTCGTTATTATACATTTAGTTTTGGATTGTTGCTTTTGTGTCACATCAGGGAGAGGTTTTAGTCAACTGTCTACTGTGATAAATTGCATTGTCCATTACAATGACGCTATTAAGGAATGTTTGGAACCACTTTGTTTTTAAACCAACTTTCAAATAAATCAGCAGTGGTGTCTTCACGGTAATCCAGTCGTAATATTTTTCGCAGATAGGGAATATCCATTTGGAATCCAACTATCTTTAGAGCCAGCATGCAAAATAGTTATTCTTTTACCTCTTTTTGATGGCGCGTTTGTTTTACACTCATCAGTTGAGTCAACCCAACCTTCTTCCGGGGTATCATAAGTGTCGAACCAGGTTTCATCCAAGTAATTAATTGGCCTTTGCTGTTCTCTGTAAATCCTATTTTTTTCTAGATATTCCAGCAGCCATTTTCGAATTCTAAAAGATTCCATTAAAACTTGCCTCTTGTCAATTTTTTTAAATCTAAAACTCATGTGTTGAATACACTTCCATAGGTAGTTCGCCCACATTTAACACCGGTTTCATCTTTTTCAAGCTTCCTAATCTAATGTAGGCACGCTTTGTTCCTCGTATAACTGGGTAAATTTTACGCCGTATTATATCTTGATCACTTTCATCTACACTCGAGAAAATGTCAGCATTGCTTCTTTTTTTCCTCACTGAAATTGGATTATTCACAATTTTCCATGCAGTTGATGTTGTAATTTTTGTCAATATGACCGTTTCTTCTATAGATGCTTGCTTGCTGGCACCACGTTCAATGAGAGTCAAATAAACATTGTTTATAACTTCCTTAGTCTCAGTAGAATAGTGTTTTCTACATTTGTGAGGGAGTATCTTCTGAGATACGCTAGACTCGCACATATTTTGCATAATTCGCACGCTCTATTATACGCGAAATAAGAATGATTACTAATAAACTTAAACTAAGTAGTATACCAAACCAAAGAATATTAATCACGGGTAGGTATAAAATTATTTTCTATTACGGACCACAATTTTACTTTAGGTAATAATCTTGTTGCATTGTATGTTAATGACCACCTTTTGATAATCCCATTCAAAAGCATTTGGTCACTTTCTTATATCTATGAACATACTTGTTTCCGGTCACCCCTCAATTATATTTAGTATGGTCTGTCGCAATCTTCATCGTGCTGGCTTTTTCCGGCAATTATGGAAGTTACCTGTCGACGGCAATAAAATTCTGGTCCGATGGGTATATTAGTGACGAACTCTCAAAGTATAATTTTCTATTTAGGTGGATATAATCTTATTAAATTACACTAAGAAAAAACATGACATTAAATATATACAATAAATTCATAGCTAGGAATATCTATACATAATTACATTTTTATTCCAAATGTCTAAATCTAATTCTGTGTCACTATCAGAGTCGTCATTGAGATTATTTTAATAGGATTTATGTTGTTTTGTATAGAAAAGTAATCCTCAATTTTTATAATGTGCTGTACTGAATTTTTCCAGTTCTAGATTGGTATGTTATTAATTACATTTTCTATCAAACAGTAGTACTTAAAGTAGGAGAAACATTTTCCGTCCTGACCTTTAATTTTACTTGGTTCAACGAATACTCTATAGGGTGAAACATATGGAGGAAGACATAAAATAGTATGCTCAGTAGACAGGAATCTTTTAAAGCTTCTTGTTTAATAAGTCTTCTACTGTTTATAGTTTTTTGAACACTGCGAATTGTCAACACTCAAGAAATATATCTGAAAGAAAGAAATATACCCTCTCCACCCCTGCCTTGTCACTCATGTAAGAATAAATTTTTTGTTAAGGCTTTACCCAATAACAATAGGTAATAACATCGTTAAAGTTTTTTGGGGAGTGTCCGTCGAAAGGTAATACCATGAAGATTGAGACAGACTATACAGCAGCTTCTAATCCGGGAGTCCGGACTTCGCGACGTCCGCCGGCATCAAAACTGCTTTTTTAGAAATTATTTTTTTTTATTTGAAAGCGGTAAGAATTATGGAAAAATTGCAGGAGACGAAAGTATCTAAATAAAAAAAAATAAACGGCATTTTAGTCACCAGTGAAAAATATACAGCAAGTGTATGTTTATAATAAGTATACTTCCGTAATATTTTATTGTTCTATTTATTTCTGTTTTTAATATATAAAATCAGTTTCCCCCCCATATCTGAAGCTACTTTTGACCCAACAACAAACTACCCCTTATTTTTTAGGATAGGCAAAACTCATAAATTGGCCCAAACTTGAGTGCATTCTGTAAATGGAAAGGTTGAAGTATTCGTTGGGTTAGTCTGTAGAGCCTTTTGCATACTCGATGACATTTTTTTACTCTACACCTTTCTGAAGTAGACTATATATAATATTATTTTTTTTACTAATCACCATAGCTTGTGTCTTTTCAGTGGAGATGATTATGTTATATCTCTTTGCAGTTTCCTCGAGTTAATGTAGTGTAGTGGTTGCAGGTCATCTTTATTCTCCGCTAGAAGAACTACATCGTCCGTATGGCAGAGAATCTTCAGAGAGCCATTCAATAACTGCCATTCGTTAGTTTCACACTAGGGTAGGGCTTAAGCTGTCATCTTGTCTGATACCGCTCTTTACTAAAAGTTCTTGGTTGAAGCCGTTTCTGTTTTATTACATATTTTATTGTTTAGTTCTCTGATTTTTCCTATATATTTCGAGTCAATGTTGTTTTCAATTACCTCTTGGAGATATATTTTATCGAATGCCTTCATCAAATTCACAAAGCAGAAAAACATGGTTTTATTAAATTCTATTGACTTCTCAATTAGTTGCCTAAGAATAAATATGGCATCCACTGTGATTTTTTCTAAAACCTTGTTGCTTGTCAGAAGTCTCTATAGTCCCCGTAATCTTCTTGCATACCAGAATGGTTATGCATGTTTTCCACTCAGAAGGGATCTGTTCTGTGGGGATTATGATTTGGTACAGGCTTTGGGGATTTCCGCTTTTTAACACGCCTTATACCTGATCGTATATTTTCGGTGTTGATATTGCCTTTATCCTTTTTCTTAGTCTCTGATACCGTACATGTGTCTATTTTGTATTTTGTATAATAATTTTTTGGTTTTTGTTATATGATATTCCAGCACACAATTCGTAGTACATATTTCTTCTTCGGATCGTTCTTCCTTGGTAATTGTCCGTTTTCCGAGGCATTTCCACTAGTTCTATGAGCAAGTGATTTTTTTGCGAGAGGTAGGTTGCTAGCCTTACTTCTGAACCCTCCTCGTTTTATCATGGCTTAGGACTGACAGAGGTAGATAATAGGCTACTCAATCCACCGATCGCTACCTCTGGCAAAGTTGCATATTTGGAAAAATGACGTCTTCATTATCTGTCTAACTGTCTAATGCTATCAATGTAGATTTTCATCAGGGAGTTTTGTTTTGCCATATAAAAATAAAGCGTTGGTTTAACGAGTTTGGGATAGGAATATAGGCTTTTTACAAAACTTCTGAATTCCTCCTGCATCGGTCCTTTAAAAATAAAAATTACTGACGTTTCGCCAATCATCCTGTTGGCTTCTTCAGAGCTAAACTGAAACTGGCTCGCATTTTACTCTGTACCTGTTTATATATTATTTGAAGAGGGCGGAGCTAAAGACCTCAGTGACAGTTGATTGTTGTTGGTTGCTTATAGATTTCTATAGACTCTCGGATTTTTCATTGGTAGAAGAATTGATTACATACAAGAATTCTAGGTTTATCGAATGAGTTTATATTCTTTGAGCCTAGTTAATATTTTTCGTTAGCAAGTTCGACTCCTCGCAGGAGGAGTTCAGAAGTTTTGTAAAAAGTATAATAGTAGACCGTGGAAGTTTCTTTGCAAAAAAAAGGAATATAGGCCCATATTACTTACCGAATCAAAAATACTTACAACGGCCGGTATCGCAGGACGTGTAGATAAAACCGCGTCAGTTCCCGTATTTACATTTTCGATTTGGTGCTCGGAGCGTGTTTTGAGTCGCCGAAATAAACGGTAATGAGTGAGAGATCGCAAAATCTGCTTCCCGTACACTGCAAACCGCGCGGGCATTTGTTTAAACAACCAAATATCTCTTATCTCGCTTATTGCATTGGTTTAATTGTCGTCGTAAAAGGAATTTGTTTAAATTCTCACGACATTTATTACGGAACCGCGCGGTACGGTACTAATCGGTTCGCACGGCGTTTGACGCGGTTTTCTAAAATTCGCGTCCAGAAATTATACCGCCATTTTGCTCGTTTAAGTTAATATGTGGACCACCCACGGTTCCCGGCGTGAAAAATTCGTTTAACGTTTCGAAACAAAAATGTATTTATAAATTGAATAGATTTCGCTCTGCCCGTCGGTTTTTGTTCTTTTGGCGCGCGTACGCGCAGTCAAGGCGCAAAGAATTTTGGCACTCGATTCATATTAGCAGGAAACGATATCGAGAAAGACAATAACGAAGCTACTAACGAATACGTTTCGTATTTTTGAAGAGTGCAAGCGGCCAACACGACTCAAACACGACCTAAATCTTGTGTAGGTATACTTTGTCTCAAAGTATATCATTTTGGCTTTTGACAGCCATTATCGAAAAAATATGCTCACAGCAACAAAACACCTGGCCAGTCGGCATCGGGGACGGACTTTTAAGATGTTTCAAAAATCAAATATCATATTGTGGTTTTTAATAATGACCGAAATAAGGACGTTTTGATTCAAAACCTAATTCTGTTTCACTCTCACTCTATTTTTTCTTTTTTTGAACGCAAATCTTCGTATTTTTGACAAGTCGTCTTATAAGCGCGTGCATGCGGCGACTACGACTCAAACACGAGTTAAATCCTGTGTATAGGTATATTTTGTCTCAAAGTATATCGTTTTTGCTTTCGACGGCCACTATCGAAAAGACATGCTCACGGCAACAAAACACCTGACCAGTCGGTATTGTAAGATCACGGACGGACTTTTAACGTGTTTAAAAAATCAAATATTTTATTGTGGTTATCAATAATTACCAAAATAAGTACTTTTCAATACTTCAATACTTCAATACTTTTCCAATAGCAATGAGGCCGAAAGCAATCCTACACCTTCCACTGTGGTCCTTCCTTACATTCAAAACATCAGTGACCACATATCAAACGTTCTAAAGAAGTATAACGTCAAAAATCTCTCGACATCTTCGCTCCGTCAAAGACAAAATTCTATTTGAGATGCCAGGAGAATACAGCATTCCATGCATATGCGGCAGAGAATACATTGGGGAGACAGAACGAAAAATATCAACTAGACTCAAAGAACACGAAAGAGCCTTACGATTAAGACAAATAAACTCATCAGCTATTGCCGAAGACACTCCCGAAACCGGAAATAAAATTTTCGTTTCAGTTCTTCTACCAACGAAAAATCCGAGAGTCTATAGAAATCAAACAACCTAACAATCTTAACCGCGACTCAGGTCTTTATATGTCACCAATGTGGGAATCATTCATCCGAGACGATGTTTATACCCCTCATTTAGCTCCACCCGTCTCAAACAATATATAAGCAGGTACAGAGTAAAATGCGAGCCAGTTTCAGTCAAGCTCTGAAGAAGCCAACAGGATGATTGAAGAAACGACAGCAAGTTCGACTCAGCAAAAACCGACGCAGGAGGAAAGTGATTGATTGGTTTACCGTATACATTTATGTTAAATAAGATTGAAGACAGATTGTTGATGCTAAGCTGTGCTGGAGGGTTCCAGTAAAGAGATTGTAAAAGAATGATGTGCTTCTTGTCAATGCCAATGTTCCTCAGAATAGGTGACGGACATGATCAAAGTCCTTTTGTTAATCGATAAAACGTACAAAAACATATTTTCGCTTCTTGAAACCAAAATAGTTGTCGCCGCTGACCTCCTCACATTTTCTATATATTCTTTGATATTAGTCACTTGGCTTCAATACAAATAGAGGTCTCGTTATCGTTCGAGTAAAATGGTAGTGACAGGGACAGAATATCCATACGTGTTAGAAAAAGTGTCTGGGGCTCAGAGACTATTGCGCATGTGCATGTAAACAAACTTGCGTCATAATTTTATGAATCAAATTTGTAGTTATACACTACAGTGTCTAATGGAAGACGTTTTTAAAAATGTTGAGGTCGCCAAATGGGAATCCTGGATAACACCGGAAAAACGGGGATCTCGTTACACCCTACATTTTATTGCATTTTTGGATAGTCGTTTCAAAAACAAGTTCAACGATATATATGATTAAAATTTTATTAAATGAGACACCCTGTATTTTATTAGATTTTTGAATGCTTATTTTAATTATAAATTATTATATTATAATATAATAATTGGGAATTATTTTCCAATAATACATACAATCTTTTACATTCATAATTTAAGAATCTGGTAAATAAGGTCCTTAAATGGAAAAAAACTTTTAAAAAATCTTCATATTCCCAATAATATAGACCACATGTCTTTAAAAAATATATAGAAACCTGCCTGTTGAAAGATACAAACACAAAATTGATGATATTATTAATTTTGACCTTTTTGTTGAGTCAAAAAATTGACCTATTAGAATGTTACGTCGCTCTTGCTTTCAAACAATATAGAGCCAGGAAAAGGAAAAAATATATTTTCCAAAATATACCAGCAGATTCGAACAAATGGCAGCAGTGTTTTAGTGAAAAAAGTAGGAGCTGAACGGTTTTGAACCGACCTTGCCGCTTCGGATGTAGACGTAAGACAAACCACACTTCAAACATGTTTAAAAATTAACAGTCATAAGCCATTTAAATTCACACATTATAACTTAAGACTCGAATTTTGCAATATAATAATGGAGAGGCATTTTCTAGATAACATATTTCAAAATGTAATTTGGACCGATAAATCAATATTTACAACATCTGCGGCGTTATTTAATAGAAATTCGCCTTACTGGAGTTCAGAAAATAAAAAATGTTGTTTTGAAGTAAACAAGCAAGGTGAAGATCCGTGAAAGTATGGTGCGCAATCTGGAGATCTAGAATTTTAGCACCCATATTTTACATTTTACATTTTACAAAATTTATCATATGGATATTTAAATTTATACATAATAATATTTCCCAAACAAAGCATCCAAATTTAATTTATCGCTGCTTACCATCGAATTGCTGCAATCATTCGTTTTTTAATCGAAAATTTCAGAGAGTGGATTGAACAAAATGGAACCAAATCCTGGCTAGCGAGGAGTCCAGATTTGACCCCGATGGACTTTTTTTGTGGGGCATGTTGAAATATATGGTTTACAAAGATAAACCGTCAACAGTTTTGGATGTGTCGCAACGAGTTCGGACGGCATAACATTATCTGAATAAAACAAATTACTTCTCAAATGCCATATACAATTTAGAAATAGTATATACTACTTGTATTCTTCAAAGCGGCGGACATATACAAAAACTAATGTAATTAATTTTACTTGTAAGTAATGTGTATTAGTAGTTAGTGTTCACCTAGACATTTAAACGAAGAAATAAGTAATTTGCGAAATTTGGCAACATTTTGCAAAGCTTAATATTCTGTTTTTATTATGACTTCTTAAGAATACTCTAAAACGGTTGTGAACAAGTTGATAAGGTGCTAATTCACAGTTTCATATCTTAATAATTTAAATCTTATACCCAGTTTTTAATTTTATCTGCCAATTAAGCCAAAACGGTGAGTCAGTAGTCAGTACTATGTTATATAATTGAAATTGCGATTAAAGTTGCTATTCGAAAATCCAATAATATCCAGGGCGTCTCATTTAAGAAAATTGAGAAAGGTATCATTTTGAGAAACGTGGCAACACCGGGAATTTTAAGAAAATATTTTAAATTTGATCATTGCCTAAAGAAAAGCATTATTTTCGTAAAAATAATAGATGGAAAAAAGTTTAAAAAGTTAATAAGTAACTCATCAATGATGGTTTAAACATCGCGAATAAGTTCGAAACGGTGCATCATACACCCATACTCATATATACCGTTGAATATATCTTTGAAAGAACTATCCAAAAATGCGATAAAATATAGTGTTGTTTTTTTTTAATGTGGCTTTGTTTTACCACTCTGTATACAAAAAAGTGACGATTAGGAAAATAAAAACAAATAAGGGTCATTTTAATAGAAACAACTTTTGTATTTAATTTTTTTTTTGTAACCCCCGCAGGATTATCGATAGAGTATAGGCCCCTCTTGAAAGGGCCACCCTGTAAAAGACGGATAAGCATTCTCAATAATAATAATGATAATGATAAACCGATTGCCATTCGCGAATAAAAGTCTTGAAGTTTTAAAAAAAGTAATTTATTATTCCAAATAATAAACTACACATATATACATAACAGTAGAATAAAAAAACGCGCAATCACATCCTTTTTTTATTCAGCAAAGATCGATCGGGGGTGCGTAATTTACAAAAAACCCGCGACCGTTTTACAGATTAAAAATTCGGAAAACCCTTAATTTTCCTCGAACGCTATTTTGTACACCTCGTCGATCTGACTAACGAAGTGCACCTCTAAGCCTTCAGTGATGAACTTTGGCAGATCGTTAAAGTCTTTCTTGTTCTCCTCCGGTAAAATGATACATTTCACCCCAGATCTCTTAGCCTGAGAAAACAAAGGAAAGTAAGTCAGCTCCTTCCCCATTCTCGCTATATAAATAGTCGTTTTTTTTACTCACAGCGATAGTTTTTTCTTTGATGCCGCCCACGGGCAACACTTTGCCCATAAGAGATATTTCTCCGGTCATAGCGAGGTCCTGTTTGATGGGTTTGCCCTTCGCGAGCGAGAGCAAGGCCGTGGCTATGGTGCACCCAGCGCTGGGCCCGTCTTTGGGCGTCGCACCTTCCGGCACATGCAAGTGCAGGTGACTGCAACAAAGAAGACAGAAATACTAAGAGATTGTCGAACTTCTCCACTACTTTCTTCCAAAAGTAAGTTGCTTTGCTTGTAGACAATGATTTAGTAGAAATACTAAGAGATTGTCGAAGGTGTTTGATGTTTATTTTTTGTTTACACAACGTTTCGGGCAGATGTATCACTACCTGTTATCAAGGGCAATTTTAATTGTAGGGCTTACGAGGCTTATATACTAGACTATAGCGTTCATTCGTGAAGGAGTAGACTGCAGTCAGGCGTGAGGTCGTTCCGCTAGGACGCCGATATTGGTGCCGACTATTCAGGGTTGCTAGATTGAGCATATTCCAATGCGGTTTCCTGTGATGTGGTGTTTTTTGGTCCATGATTTCACCCCTCATTATGTGTTTCCTATGTTCTTCAACTATAACGTTTAAATCACTCCATCACTCCAATACATGGAGTGATGGAGCTTCTTAAGTGCTGTCTGCATTATCTTACCTTCAAGTCAAAGAAAAGTTTCACGCACAAGATGGTGGGCTACCGATGGGCTCCTCTCTCTCTACGGTGGTAGCGAATATATACATGGAATGGTTTGAAACTCACGCTATAGATGCGTCAATTGTTAAACCTAGGATCTGGATCTGATATGGAAAATGGAATGGATGGATGGAAAAATGTGACGACACTATATCTCATAATATGCAGTAAAGAAGCATCACTCGATATAAGATTAAGTATTAAGAAGGATTTCCTTCATAATGGCCACAGTGAAAAATGTATTAACAAACCAAACTAACCAAAACTAACAAAACAATACAACGTTAAGACTGTATACCAAAATACCCTGTGAATGTGGAGAGGCATATAGTGAAACAAAAAGATCTTTAAACGTTAGAGTTGAAGAACATGGGAAACACACAATGAGGGATGAAATACAAAGGTCAGGAATCATAGAATATGCGCGGATCAAACAACACATAATCAAATGATTCGAAGGTCAGGCTGTTCACAGGCAAACCCGCAAGTTTAAGGAAGCTTTATTCGTTAAAAACAATGAAAACATCTTTAGCAACCCAAGCGTGGAAATACCTATAGCAACCCTTAATAGAGCGTACCCAATGTTGGAGTCGGAATAACCTCATGCATAACTGCACCCGAATCCTTCATGGATGAACACTGTTGGCTACTATATAAGCCTAGTAGCCTTAGAATTAAAATTAATTTGACCTTGATAGCAGGTAGTGATACGTCTGCCCGAAACGTTGTGTAAAGGAAAAGATAAAGGCAATTGACAATCTGTTAGTATTTTCTGGATCATTGTCTTCAACCAAAAGCAAGAAGACATGTTTACTTACTCTTGGAGGAAAACAGTTAATAAAAATACAATTTAAAAAAAAAACGCGAAAACTCAATTTTCATTTAGTGACGCCATAAGATAAGAAATATCAAATATCAAACGTTAGAGCACCCTGCATAGTATTTGTCGGAACTTTATAGACATATTTCTTATCATTAAATGAAGAAATCGTTAAATGTCAATTAACATTTTTTTTTCAAACGCCCATCAAAAAAAGGATGACTTTGTATAATGTTGCCCAGTCCAAAAAAAGTCTCAAGACGTCAAATATACTGCAAAGTCACCTGGATAATAGGAATTTGTTTTGGGGATCGTTCTGCACCAGGAAGTTTCTGGCAACTGTGAGTGCAATCTTGGCGGACTCTTTCATCACATCCCCCAAATGACCGGTGAGCTCCAGACTGCCTTCGGTATCTTTGTCGTTCGTCGGCAGTCTCCTCGTAGTCGTCTCGACGTACAGCGTAGAACCGCCTTTAAAAATAATACAAAAAGCAGTATGATGTGTACTTTCTGACTTTGCCTTATCATAGCAGAAACGTTATCAACAGCCCCTTGAAGGTGACACTGGATCACAGACTGGGCCAGAAAGACGCCCATTAGATGTTTGTCAAAATTTGTATGAGGTGACTGTTGGCTGTCCCATTTGAAGCTACAAAGATGCTATTGGTATATTACTACTTCACATTTTTGAGACTTGAAAAATGAAAAATGATAAACATTATGTAATGACGGTCCGATCACGGTCCTGCAATGTTCAATACGTCGTTTCATTTCTGTTAAAAAGTTGCTATTAAAAAGTGTTCAGAAAATCAAGCTGTTAGCGAGTAAAGAGTGTGAAAGTGTGAAAGATGTGAAAAGCATAACACTGAAGCCTGAATTCTGAAAAAAACTTTCCAAAATTAAAAGGTTGCCGAAAATGTTTTTGGGAGTCAAACTAGATCAAATCTTAATCTAGGAAAAAACAACTGTAAGAATCCAGAACTCGAGAACTTTTTAATATGGAATTTGCCAGTCCTCAAGTAGTTCTGCATTACTTTTTTAGGCATCCTCTTCACTTGCAAATCGTGTATTCATACCACAAATTAGATATGTTGGCAATGCCAATAAAGTACTACGTTGTTATATTTTAAATATAAATAAGTGTGATAAATTTAAATGGTAACATAATTTATTTCAATTGGAGGTTTAGACGTTGCCTGGTTAATTGTGTCTCATCTTTAAAGACAATTAAGGGAAATAATAGTAATAAATAAAATATCTTCCATATTAATTGGTGCTACTCAAAATCTTATACCCGGCTTGGTACAAATAAAGTTTACAATTTACCTGAAAGGTTGCAAACAAATGAAATGAAGACTCACCCATGGCCGTCCACGCTAATCCCATAACGACCCCCGGCGGGGTGGTACTGTACATCCTGTCGTGGGTGAATACCGGTTTGCCGACGAAATCTTGCAAGTTGCTAGACTCCACGTCAATAAACTGCGTCTCGTCTTTCACCACCTTGTACGCGACCTTCCTCACGACCTTCTCGATGTGCTTCTGCAAGTTTCTAACACCCGACTCCCTGCAATAATTCTTGATGAGCATATTGAGGGCGTCGTCTTCCACTTTGATTCGGTCGTCTTTCAGGCCGCTATCCCTCATCGCCTGGGGCAGCAGGTATTGCTGCGCGATAGCCAGTTTTTCTTCCGCCACGTAACCCGACATTTCGATCATCTCCATACGATCCCTCAACGGTTCCGGGATGGTATCCAGCACGTTCGCGGTGCAGATGAACAGCACTTTGGACAAATCGACCGGTACGTCGAGGTAGTGATCGAGAAAGTTCGCGTTCTGTTCCGGGTCTAGTAATTCGAGGAGGGCGGAGCTTGGATCGCCGGAGTAACCCCTGAAATAAAGAGGAATGATATAGAAATATATACTAACCTAAGTATTAAACTACGTGTAAATAAGAAGAACGTCATCGAAAAAGTAATACTTCAAACTATTAAGGCGCAGCCCAAAAAAGAACTGAGACCACAAAAATATCAGATATGATTGACGTCTGCGAAACGAAGTTAGCTCCTGGGTGCAAAGGAGGGGAGCAGAGTGGAGAGCACAGCTGTTAGGAATGAACGAAAACCAGTTGGTGAGCAAAATTCACGACACTGTCCCTGAGAAGTCATGGTCAAAAGAGGTGGAAGGACAGCATTAAACTGGGCCAGATGGTGATGTGTGTCTGTAAACACAATAACCCAATATTCAAAAATTGAAAATATCACTGACCACATATCAAAACTTCTAAAGAAGTATAACGTCAAAACCAGATTTAGCACTTGTCCAAAATCTCTCGACATGTTCGGTCTGTCAAAGATAAAAATCCATTTGAGATTCCAGGAGTTTACAGCGTTCCATGCATATGTAGCAAAGAATACATTGGAGAAACCGGACGAAAAATATCAACTAGCCTCAAAGAACACGAAAGAGCCTTACGACTAAGACAAATAAACTCATCCCCTGTTGCTGAACACAATCACGAAAGCGGACATAAAATTTAATTTAATTAGCATAATTTGACCTGCAGCTGTTTTATTTTATTTCATTTTAACTATTTGTTGAACATATCATCAGCTATTAAGCCTAAAATGTAGTTTCATGAAACTGTAAGAATTCGGCAAAATCTCCACAAAGTTCATTCAAAAATCCTTAATGTGTAATGTGTTCTCTTTTATCATGGTAATTCAGACTTGTTAGTATTAGTGCAGCATACATTTTTATATGTTATAAAGATGCTGATTGCTCTTTACGCTTTACTTTAATTGTCGATTTCTAGCATTTCAATTCATAAGGGGCAATAGACTCTTGCATTAATATGGTTAATAAAATTGTTGAATTTTTTATGTCCATTCCAAAAATCAATCTACAATCATTTCCACCTTAGTTAGTTAAATATGTTTCTTTTTTGGTGACAATTGATCTAAATAGATTTTATATTTGTTGTACCTAACCTAAAAATTGACTAATTTAATAGTCACTGGTGTAATCTAGTGTTTGAAAAACTGACGTACTTGCCAATTTTGTCGACTTCGTCAATAAGGACCAAAGGATTCTCGGTCCTGGTTTTTTTAAGGCACTGTATCACTTTTCCGGGCATCGCCCCCACATAAGTACGCCTGTGGCCTTTTATTTCCGCCACATCCGTCATCCCTCCCACAGAGAATCTAAAATATTCCCTGTTCAACGCCCTGGCTATGGATTTGGCTGCAAAAGTTAATGAAAATTTTTGAAAAATGCTAAATTCAAGGGTACACCACAACTTTACCTATGCTGGTCTTTCCCACTCCCGGTGGTCCATGGAAACACAGGATTTTCCCCTGGGTACTGCCTTTCAGCTGACTCACGGCTATGAATTCCAAAATTCTACGTTTTATGTCTTCCATACCGTAGTGGTCTTGATCTAAGATCTCGGAAGCCCTCTGAAGATTGAGATTTTCTTCGCTCTGTACGCCCCATGGCAAGGACGTTAGCCAATCCAAGTAATTTCTCGTTACACTGAGAGAAATTTTTCTCTTATAAATATTTTAGATCGGCACATATTTAGGTTCCAAATTATATAATAAGTTAATATTGGGCATTAGATAGATATTAAATGCCTTTTAGACAATTTTAATAAAGAATTTGTTTGTTGGTGTTTGAAATGCGGTTTAATTGTAAGTTTGTATTTTTGTATTATCAGATGTTATTGTTGTAATATGAAAAAAGTGACTTACTTAAATTCTGAACTATGACTTTCTAGAAAGTTAAGTTTGTTTAATTCCTCTTCAATAACAGCAGACACGGCCTGAGGCAAAACCTTATCTTTGATCCTTTCTCTAAATTTATCTCCAACAGCGTCTTTGTCTTCTTTTTCCAATCCCAATTCTTTCTTAATTACTTTTAATTGTTCCTGCAGGATATATTTTCGGTGGTGCTGTTTCACTTTTTCTTCCACTTCTCGTCCGATTTTTTGCTGCAGTTTGGATAGTTCATACTCCTTTTTAAGGAGTGACAAAGAAAGCATTAACCGTTTCGGGATCTACAATAAAGATTTATAAATAAATGGAGTTACCAAAATATTGTCACATACGTCCATTTCCTCCAACACCTCTTGCAGCTCTTTACTCTCTGCGGCTGTTAAAGCTGCACCCAAATCAGACAAATATACAGGGTTATCAACAACTCTTTGTCCTTGATGCATCATTTGTTGCAAACTGTCTCTATACAGAGGGTTCAGGCTTATAATATCTCTTATAGTTTTGATAACTTCTTGGGTTAAAGCTTTGACTTCTTCGGTTTGTCGAAATTTGTTATGTACTACATTTTCAACCTCTGCTATTAAAAAGGGCTCTTTCTGGGCACTTTTTTCAGCATCTAAATTTGAACCCTGTTTGTCTTCTATAGGTCTTTTAAAACGATTATTACGGTTCTTGCCACGACGTCTTCCTGTATCTGATTCTTCTGGAAATACGTTTACCGTTGTATTGAATATGGGAAACTTGATTTTCATAGCTATGAATTCATACAAAAAAACAAGTGGTAAACCAAATTGCCTTTTGTACAAATACAAACTTAGAAAAAGCTTATCACTAAAATGGCCAAGAGGAAATGCTGGAAAATATTTTCAACTTTTTTATTTATTTCCATTTGCTGAATAGGCTGAAAAAATCTCTCCATTCTAGTTCGGGCTACCCTGTATATTAAGGTCAAGTCAACTGAAGGGTTAGAGCACTAGTATATTCTCTATTTATAGGCAAAATCAAAAGTTTAATACATGCAAATATATTCTGCTCCCTTCTGTTTCCAAAGAAAGATGTGTTTAATTCCTTATTGACTTACCTTTAGGTTCATCCTCAATATTATCTAAGATCTGTCCAGTAATTTTTATTCTTCTATGAGCCATAACCACCATTCTCAACCTGTCTCCTAAATCCTGCATTTCATGAATTTGCGCAAATACTCCGACATTATAAACATCGTCTGCATTATTCACTACTTCCGATTCATCTTCGGCATTTTTCTTCAAAAAAATACCACAGTAAGGTTGGTTTAATTTCACTTTTCTGCGTATCAGCTCGATTAATTGTGGATTGGTCAATTCTATCAGCTTTATGAATCTTGGAAATACTATGTTGCGACTGATGGCTACTACGGGGACGTGAGGCCATACTTCAGGCACTGCTACTGGGGCGGGTAACTGAGGATTAAAGTTATCTTCTTCTGGAGGAATGTCATCTGTACCATCGCTTTTTGTTGAAAAATAACGAAACGAAGTAGCCGAGCTGGTACATCGTTCTATTCTTTTAAAAAGCGTTTGTCTAGAAGTGCTAATGACTGGCAGCTTTGTCGCATGCTTTGGAAAAATTCGAGCATTTTCGATGGTGTTCAGAGATTTACATTTTGAGGTTAGTTGTTTTGCTTCTCCTGAATTTTCAGTTGACCGTCGCAAAATCGCTTCTGCGGCGTAACTAATACCAGGTTTTCTGGCCAATTTCAAAAAGCTCATTGTATTTTAGAAAATATTAAATTTTAAACATTTCTCACGGTGCCTTTGAAAGCATCACAGAAAAACACGGCACTGGTCAGTTTCCATTATTGTCAGTCTATGGTGCAAAATAAGTAGAGAAAAGAAGAATTGATGCGTGTTGTGAATTGTGAATATGGGAAAGTAGGAGATCTCCATCATGCACTGTTTGAATACCATTCACATAGGAGAAATTTAATCTCCTTATATGAAGGTTTTAGTACAATTTTCCAATCGCTCTGTAAGCGAACTACAATCTCTTTTATCATCGCATGGAATTTGTCGCTAAAACTATCAATAGCTTTTTGTCAGCTTGTAATTTAAGCTTATAAATTTTTTCTTGACATGAATGCTGTTCATTTTTCGCTTGCTGTTGTTTGCTTTGGATAGTTAAATATTTCTTCCGATTATTAAAGATATAACTCTCCTCTGGAGGGTGATGGTCTCTTTCAGTTCTTTTTAATTAAGGAATCTTCTCCGTTTTTAGAAGCAAGTCACCATTCGCCGATAAATGGCCAAATAATCCTGGCAATCTTGGCCAATACCAGTAAAAAAGTGAATGACATTGACATTGAAATAAGACAAACAATAAATCAAAACAAACTGTTAGCCGCTATGGATGTAACAAAAAAGCTCTCTTGTCTTCAAGAAATCTCAAAAGCACAATTGTCGAAAATATTTTCGATAAATGCAGATAGAAAATATTTAATAATCGAGCCAAGCTTAATTAAACCACTAGAAAGAGTTTGTGGAGTGCGCTGGTTGAAGTAAGTTAAGAGAAGTCCAAAAAAATATATTTTTTATTTATAATATCTTTTGTTAGAGCCAATGGAGTTGAGAAAATTTTCAAACTAGAGTCAGTTGCTCCCAGCTATAATGATAATGCAGTATTCTACTTCATCACTTCTGAATTGAAAATATTTAAACAAGCAGTGGATCAAATCCGATCTCAGGTTGATATTGTAAATCCAGTGAAGAACAAATTCCATATTGTGGCTGTACCACGACAACTCTTTGCATTTGAAGAACAATTAGAACAATTAGGACTGTTAGATAGTGCTGTCAGGTTACATTCTTTCCAGTGGATGCCCATTCACTTGGATACTGGTATTCTCAGCTTAGAACTCCCCCTGCTTTACAGTTCCTTATATGTCTATGAAAATCTCTCGTTTTTGCCAGTTTTATCAAAAAGTTTTTGGCAATTGACTTTTGTCATGGGAAAGCCCAAAGTGGTTTTGGCACTGGGTCAACATTCAAACAGCCTTCTCAAGCAGTACGATGACCTGTGTGAAAACAGAGGTGATTCAGATAGACTCGACTCAGATTTTGGGGCTGTTATAATAGTAGATCGAAATATGGATTATATCAGCACTTTACTCACACCTGGTGTTTATTCTAGCCTGTTAAGTGAAGTTTATGATGTAAAAGTTGGAACCTGTGAAAGTGCCAAAACAGAAGGAGCACGGGAAGACCAGGAGGTAATTTTGGATGAAAAGTTTAATCCCATGCCACTTAAACAATCAGTGACTATTAGTCTGAATAGCAACCAAGATTCAGTATATGCAGGCATAAAAAATCGGTACTTTACAGAAGTGACTTCTGTACTTAGCAATCTAACAAAACAGTTAAAATCTGAAAAACTAAATTCCAGAGAAATGGCTTTGGATGAAATCAAAAGGTATGTACAGACTCAGCTGCAGGCGACAAAATCAAGAAAGAAATTTATAGCAAATCATCTCCTTGCTGCTGAGAGCATTATAAATGCAATGGGCCATCGCTACGAGACACTTAAAGAAGTTGAATTAAATGTAATTAAAAACAGTAACAAAAACGCAAACTTGACCTTCTTGGAACAGATTTTGGTAACTGAAAACGACAAATTGGTAGCCTTAAGGTTATTTTGTTTGATATCGATCACACAGAAATTGACGGAGGCTGAAACGAGATCGTTTTGGCGTAAATTTTTGCACCAGTTTGGATTTAATTATGGGTTTGCTTTTAACAATCTCGCTAGCGCCGGTTTTTTGGATGATTTTGGACAGAGCAGCACGACCATATCAATCCCAGGAAAAATCAATCTTAAAATTCCAAAGTTTGCTTCAAACAATTTTTTTACAAACGCGAAAAATTTGAAACAGATACCGCCGGATCCGGATAAAATCAATTTGAAACATCCCACTTGTGGCAGTTATGTATTCGGCGGTCTTTACATACCTCTAATTACGCAAATTTCTGGGATGTTGCTCAATTCTATTCCTCTAGAGGATATTAAAGCAAAATTGGAGGTGCTGGGTCATCCCTTGACGTTAAGAAACGATAAAAACTATCCACTCCTGAATCGGACAATTCTTGTCTATGTGGTTGGCGGAGTTACATATGCCGAAGTTGCCTCTTGCAATTTGTTAGAAACACTGACAGGCGCAAAAATTTGCATACTAAGTGACAGAGTTGTGAATGGGAATCATATAATGGCAGATATTTTAAGTATCCCCAAATAAGGATCTACTGTGCACACACTTTGAGGTATATTTATCCTTTGTGATCTGATGAAGTGGTTCCCGTTTCGTGAGACAACGTATTGACAGTTCCGGGTGAATCGAACTGTCTTAAATGTGTACTTTTTCTAGCAAGTGAAAGAACTGATAGAATAGGGACCTAGAAAATAAAACGCTCCCACACAATGATCTATTATCGCAGAATTCCGCGATTTATGGAAAATAAATGGCGCAGATCACAAATCACTATCACTTCTTCTCAAGGAAGTTAGAAGCTGTTTTTTTTTCATACTTCTCGTTAGCGTGTTATAACGATGTAATTTACAATAATATAACACTCAACATTAATCACTGTGTACATCTATTTTTTTTTCTATTAGTGGGCTGTGATTTTTATAAAATGTTATTAGTAGAGTGTAAATAACATTTGTTTATTGTATTTATCGACAGGAATTAGCTTTGAATTAATACTCAAGAAATAAAATTGACTAAAAAGGTTGCTAAGCGACAGCGTACCTCAGATTTGTCACTGAGCCATTCTATTACACAGCGAAATCAAAAACTTCAAAAATTACTGAACTTTTTTTAACCATTTTTAAAAATGTAATTATATCTGTTGAAACATTAAAAAACACAGTTTTTTTTACTATTTCATATAATGTATACCCTTACCCAATAAAATTCAACAAATTCGGTTCGGACACGTTTGGTTCGCTCAACACGCCATTGAATAATTTTCATAATTTTGGTTAGGTTTCGACTGCATCCATATCGCTAGTAGAGAAATATGGCTCTGCCTATACCGATGATACAGGAACTTGTGAAGCAACCATAAAAAGATGTTTGCGAAGGTCCATTCATCGCGATTTGAGATTTAAAATTTCGTTTTTAACCAATAACCGTGCAGCACTCAAAAACTAACATTTTCGCTGACAGATCGTCGACTTGATGTTTGTACCTCTGTTATTGACAAATTCGTTTATGCTGACAGTACTCTATTGTTTCATTGCAGACTGCCAAACGCGCAATGTAAACATGGGGGCAGTCAACATCAAACGGAACAAAAATTCCACGTTTAAAAGAATGGTCGAAGTTGATTATTTTGCATGAGTGTTTTATGTCAACGTTGCCGCTTGTGTATGACAAAAATTGATATACGGCTTGCAAAAAATTGTATTTCTTACCATTTGCCGTAAAAATTTTCACCCCCTGATTTATCAATAAATTATTTCTGGAAATAAACGATAAATTGTTGCTTATAAAAATCCATAGGGATCGCTAATACACGTCAGTATTATCGACCAGTCCAATTCAAGGCTGCATAAAACTGCTTACACTAATTAAAGAGCCCATGAATAATATCTTCGCTTTTATTGGTCGGCTTTACAATTTTGCGTTTTCCTGATCGTTCCTTATTTATTCATGTCTTCGAATGTGTACGGGCCGTAAACTTTACTAAATGAATTCGATCGATTGAAATCCGAGTTACTGTACACCCCAATACCATATGCTGATTGTTTATAATAATGGCTGAAAACACAGCTTTTCACTTGAATTAAAAAACTTTTTCGTGAAAAAAATATTACATTGCCGAGAAAACAATCAGACATCAGAATTTTCTATTTCTTATATTTTTCGTTATCATTGACAACCAAGACGAGAGACTTTAGTTGTATAGACCATAGATACACTTTCATGATGTCAAGCCCGGAACACTGAACCGCTAGGAAAATTATTGAGACTTATAGAGCTCAATTTATCATGAAACAGATGTCATTTTCAAAACAAGCGCAGCCGGATTTGTTTTGAAATACAGGGTAAAACAGAAACTTTAGTTACTCTTTGTTTTTTGAACACCCTGGAATTTCAGCACTCGGGTTCTTGTAAAAGAGTAAAACTTAAAATACGAACCAAAAGAATTTTTTTTTAATGTATATTATAAATTGTAAGTTTTGAGATGCAGTACCTCCTGCACATCGAGAGTGCAGCAGGACTCAAGAAAAACGAGTATCGAAAATATAACAACTTTATTTATTTATACTGTGAGATAAAAACATTAATAACTGTATAATGTGAGAATAATCTAACCCTTACTTCTATGAGAGGCAAGATCAATAAAAATATTACAATTAAAGATACAATAAATTAAAAAAAAATACGCAAAAAATATACAAGACGAATGTTGTCCACCGCCATTAAACGAGAAATACAGCAAATGCAGAATCGCTTCGCACCTCTTTTTGCCAAAACATTACAAACAACGACAGATGCAACAATGTGGGATAAAAAAAGACCTAAACCGATTCCAAACTATAATTACAACAATTTCATCAATATTTACAAATAAATAAATCGCTAAGCTCGATAATTAAGAGATAACAATACTGACTAGTCTTCTGAAAAAGTCACCAATCGATGATGCACCTTATATCCAACAAGTAGAGTGTTTTTTTCAAATGCGACGATGAAGAAACCGAAATTTAAGAAGCGTGGAAAATGCAAGGCTCTCTCTTTCACTCCCTTTCAAACTAATCGAAAAAAAAAACACCCTATATAAACGACGTTACCGAGAGAAAACAAACCGCTTAATTCGCCTATTTTATATCCATCATAACATTTTCATAAAAAATACTCGTTTCTCCTTAATAGACAAATATCTCGTAAATATCACCCAGTCTCTTAAATTTTATTGTTCGAGGCAGCGACACCATGCGGCCTGTCATTGTTTGTTGTGGCCCTCCTGTTTCTTCCTTCTCCGGCCTCCCTCCAGCAGATAAGAGACGTCCAGGACGTGTTTCGTTGGCATCTTGCTCAAGAGATTCAATAAAATTTTGTTTAGACGAGTCTTTCGCTGCGCCGGAGTCTGAAATAAAAAAACAGCCTTGCGATCTTCATCGTTTCGTCGGAATATATACTGACGAAAAAAAAAGTAAATTAGGATGCGCCATTTTTATGGCAGTATGTTCTCAAAATATGTCCAGAACCCATGAAACCTTCAGGCAAAAAGGAGTTAAGTGTGGGCATAGTGCTGTTTAGTGCGGTAGGTTAGGTTTTTGCTGTAGTATGACCACACAGATTGAATTTTTTATCGGCTATAGGCCGCAATAGTCTAATTTTATGGCCACCTAGGATTCCCGATTTGACAATTCGCGATGTTTCTTTTGAGGGCGTTTTTAACCACCAACATACATATCAAAGGCCCATTGAAAATGGAAGTTTTGGTTAGTTTTGTAGAATATTAGAAGCAATTTGAATCTATTTCGATGGACGAAAGGAGTTTTAGCAAATTTGACGTGAATTAGAAAAATGCGCATAGTTTTCAAACATAAAATTATGTCCGCTTTTCTTTTTTTTAATTTGAATAAGTAAAATGTTTTCTGCAACCCCTAGGAACCTGTCATTTTGGTTAAAAATGTTCTGTGTTCTTAAGACAACATTTTTCTTACTTTGCTAAATACGTCACAATCAAATCAATCAAATCAAATAGGAGATAATTTTATTTTTAAATCTTGATTGCTTGAAAATCTGTAATGTGATGCATTTTGAAAGTTAAAACATTTATATTCGCAACATTTTGTGTTTAAGCTGTTTTTTAGTCATTTGTCCATTTGTCTATTTCATCCGTGGACATCAAAAATCAATTACATCCTGAGATTGCACAAGTAAGTAACCTGAGTAAGGGTATGTTTTGTTTTCTTTTTAGTGCGGAATTGAGATTATTTTTCCAATAAATGGACATGTAATTGATAATTGATTGATATACCATGTTTTTCCACTCTTTCTGGCACTGGAAGGGGTACGAAATTTTCAATTTAAAAATTGAGCACACTTTAAGCATACCATTAATAACTGTCTATAATCTAGAACGTAGCTCTGCAATTCAGTGGCGTAGTCAGATATTTTTTTTTATATGTATAATTTTTGAGATACCAAGGTATATCTTTTAAATTAAACGCCCGGCATATTTTTCTAAAATTCGTTTGAGCTTTTTGTATGCTTTCCAAACACGTATAGTTAGGAAATATTTTCAAAAATAAGAATTAATATTAACAATAGTTGATTTAGTTCCGTAAAATGATATGTCAGAATACAATATTTTCGTAGTTCACGCCATACTGCTTTCTGATCAAAGACAAAGACTATTTTTTGTATACCGTGGTTTTTATGTTTTTTGTGATAATAATTATAATAAAAGTAATAATATAATAAATGGAATACAATTAGGATAGAATAGAAGTATATTTTCTAAAATGTCAAAATGCTACTATAATATAAATAATAATATATTTATACAATTATGCATTTCAGAAAAGCATACAAAAGGAATAATAACAAAAGGTACACAAAATTCATATGTTTCTAATGATAATTATAGCTTTTTCCCAAAACAAATCCATAAGTTTACTTTACGAAATTTAAATTTTCAACAAATTTTATTTTAATTTCCCCGACATTTGCAGATTTTCAGCATTGTACCTAAACCTGTGATCTTTTAAGAATACTATAAGAATTATTATCTTATGCTTCGATGGATCGAGCTTATCATATCTTTGTGAGATTTCCTCAAACAACAACCAAATGGATCTAAAGAAATTATCACTCACCCTAGTCACTACGTTGACTGCAGGTACGGGCTGCGTCTGAACATTATTTGTCTCGTACTTTGAGATCGCTTTCTCCTCCTTGTTCTCCTTCTTCCTACCACCGCTACCTTTGATGAGCGACTCGTCTACCTCGTGCGGACAATACGTCCTCGAAATTTTGAGGCGCGTCTCGAAACACTCAAACGCAAAACTCTTCGTACATATAGGGAACTGGAAACGAAAAAACAATGCTACTGCAAGTATGTCGCCTGAAAGGTATTTGCCGGCCGCACCTTGCTTTTGGAAGCCTTGCTGAACATCTTCGCTGCCTTGTCCACCCTATATTCGCAGATGTAAATGTGCTGTTCCTGGGCACCGATCGGCCTGCCCTTGCAGAATGTGTTGACGTCCATCACCCAGCAGTGTTCCATGACGAGTTCCACGGGAACAGCTTCGTAAAGTGGGACTCGCATCACCTCGTTCGGGAAAAATCTTGGAAAAAAAGCATAACTTTATTTTTCGCTAACAGTGAATCACTAAAGAGATTTTAATCTCTTTTTAGTGATTCGTTCGTTCGTTTAGATGTACAAGAAACCTACCAGAATTGTATTTTTTCCATTGTAGCAAGTTTTTAGTACAAGTATGTTTACTGATTTAAAGCTTGGAATAAAACAGTAAAAGAAATATAACTATAAGAGAAATAAAGACTTTTAAATTTTGGCAACACTATTTACGAAATCTTAAAGTTTAAATATCGTAAACTTCATGGAAAGTGTCACTTATTTTCAGTCCATTATTATAATATATACGGGGATTCCATTTAAAAAATACGACTATGATACTTTATGAAATGGAAGTGCAAAACTTTGTATTTTAAATTATCATTTTTTATGTTATTTTAAGCTGATATGAAAACGTAACATACACCTGAAAATTCAAAACATGGCACCGCCTAGCGGTGGGTAGTTTAAAAACTTTTTTCTACTCCCGTCTGTAAAATACCTAATTACCCACCGATCTAGCGTGCGGGAAGCGTCACTTAACCACGTCAGTTTCCTTTCTCACAAATCCGTGTCACTTCGAACATTTCCGGGATTTTACAGCACGGATTTGGAAGCAATTGGATGTTTTCGGAGATGTTTACTACGCTTTGAATTTTGACGTTTGTCAATTCTGACGGTCATGTCAGCGAATGTATTCCTGTTGTTTTGCGAAAATGTACCCAAAAACTAAGGGTCGTAGAAAAAGTGTAGTATGCAACACGTTCGGCAAAGTTTTAAACTCCCTCGTTTATTAAACATTCGCTCCGCTCGTGTCAAATCGTGAGTCAAATGCCGTTTACCGCACTTGTTAAATAATATACTATTTATAGGACAAAGTTATTTCGTTAACATTGCTTTTTGTTTTCTAAACAATTGATTGTGGAAAAAAATTCTTTAATTATGAAGGAACAAAAATTTAAATGTTAATGTTACGTTGGGAACAAAGCAAAATTAAGACAAATTTTGATGTGATTTGACAAATTATTATGCCTCCGTATAAGGCAATCTACAATCAATACTTACTTTCTGGTCGGCTCGTGGAATGTCTCGTGCGGCCTGAGGTAATGGTGACCGTAGGCGAACCTCTTTCCGCTGTCCTTGTCCTTCCAAAGTCTCTCTATCCGAAATATGTCCAATTCCGTATAATCGATCTTGCCGATGGTTTCGTAGGTGTGCTTTTGATCGGTGCCGGTGATGGGGATGTCGCGTAGTACGTAGACGGTGTCTCCTTGCCGTAACTGGAGCGTCCCCCGCATCAACGTCATGTAGTACCTAATATAATACATACATCCATTTTAAGCAAGTTAAACAGTCATTCAAACTGTCTACTCATGGTTACTGGAGGCTAGAAGTTTGGCCCATTGATGTTTGATATTGATCAGACAGATTATTAATCACTAAGAATTTAGGAAATTACTTTTCGAACAATTAAACTAAACAATGATCAAATGATCAATCCAAAAATGTTTTAAATAACATCTTGCAATTTTAGATTGTTATCATTCCTATTTAATAATAATATGTATTTGATAATAAATTACTACGGGTTTGTGAAGTGCAATTTACCTACAACCCTCTTCAAGGAATATCTGAATACGATACTTGGCGATTCAAGGAATCCCAAAAAAATATCGACAACATTTAATTATGTAAACGCACAATATAAATAAACAAAGATAAATTTTATGATATTTTTTAAAAATATGTCAGTCAATTGACATAAAAAAATGTGATCGGTCAATTCCATAACCCTATCAACAACAATGCATAGCACCATCAGAGAGTTACAATTGCAGTGTAAAATCGGTTGTTATTCCGAGACTTTTAGACAGACAGTAGATCGCAGACTACAGTACATAAAACACGCCAAACAACTGAATATTTGAAGGAGAAAAACATCGAATTAATGCAGGTATTCACCAGACTTATGGCCTAACGACCTTTTCTCGTTTTCCACTGTCAAACAAAAGATGCGGGGACAGCGATGGATGGTGTTTCATGCAAAAATGTCCTAGATCTTAATATTTTGAAAAACAATAAAACACTTTGTTTCGAACTTGTTCGTTTCTGTTTTTGTAAGAAATTAAAAGGCAAGACTCATTTTTGTAAATTTAAAAATAATCTAAAGAAATCTCTTTCAGAAGGCCAAGGATTTCATTTTGAATGATTTATTTTTACTATTCTGTAGAAATTCACATTCTTGGGTTTTGAACTTTCTATTTAGATAAATTATCTTCTTTTTGTTCATGGCGTAGCTATCTGAATTATTGAAGGAAACTAACATATATTGTTCAACTAAGTATTGTTAGGTTAAGTACTTTCGCCGTGTAGGTAGAACATTATCATATGTCTCAGTACGGTATTAGGAAAGTGGAGGGTCCTAGAAATTTGAATCAATCGACGAGTTGGGATGAAGAAAAATGCTGACTATTTCAATAAACACGTTATTACATAAATAATTCAGTAATTAATAAAATTGGTTAGTCTTCAACAATTGAATAATTTTGGTTTTATTGAAAGAACTAAACGAAATTTTGGATGAAAAAATAAGTGATTGTTTAATTTAGTAAAACCTGTCACAAAATTATTTTCTTTTAGTTTTAAGTGTTTTTTTCATATTTTAAGTGAGTATGCGGTTTTCACTGGGTAAGCAAACAAGGTAAAAGCTCATCGTTTCCTAAAAAATTATTTTTTGTTAAACAATGCCATCTGGTGGAAAGATAAGCAATCACAATCGCGTCAAACGCCCGATTGATAGCTTAGGCAACGCTTGCTCTAGCGACTCCAAGTGTATTAAAATATACGTTAAGCCGTATTGGCTTTCCTACTTGTGCAAACACCATTGAACAAAAATTATTTGATTTTGACTCAACTTTAAAACCCTAAATATGACTTAATTGTGCAAGTGAAAATTTCAGAAAGTCGAAAATCATTTTCAGTATTCTTTCTTGGCCGATTTACTCAATAATTTCTATTTTTCCGTAAAAAATCAAAGCCGTACCGGTGACCATGTTCGGTGAATTCGTCCATGGGAATTTCGTATTCGACGGGGCGCGGCACGCAAATCTCGCAGTGATAGCTGGCTGCCGAGACGTCGGCTTTCACGCATTCGTTGTGCTGCCACACCATGCAACGCTCGCACTGAATCATGAGGCCCTCGTCCCTGGGTATCCCGCATATGCACCGTATGATATCCTCTTCTTCGTCTGCAATTAAATCGTTAACTCCCCACATATCTGACTGCCGACATGCAGAGGACATTTATGAAAATTTTAGCGGCAATAAATACCTGAACGTAAGCTGTGCAAATAGTTTCAGATGTGTTTTCTTTTTAAGTTGTATTTCAGTTCTTAACCTGGATGTTTATAAATGTTTGGTATGTATTACTATAAACTATGAAGTATATTAGTCAGCCCGTTTCTTAGTCTCTAAGATCACAAAATCCAAATTCAAAAGCCTACTCTCCAAAACGACAAAATAAATTTTACAAAAAGCACAACATAATAGCAAAAAACTAAATGTCAAGTTATCACAATTTTCAAGTGTTAGCAAAACAAGCACTGGCAAAAATATTATTCCTTAGAATGTTTTCTTCAATATTACAGCATGAAAAAAATAACAAGACATGTGCGACCCACGGTGAAACGAGGCAATGCAAATGGCCGGTCATTGACGATTTTTCAAAAATTTGATTTGAATTGACTAATATTACATTGTTGTAATGTAAAATATTTAGAGCACCATATTGGGCTTTTGGATATCTACAGAGTGACAAAAAATAGAACGTATTGAAAGTTATTGGTTAATAAATATGGAAAAATATTTTTTCATTTGAATCGTTAAAAAAATGGTTTCTTTTCAGAGTCAAAGTTTACACTTTGTGGCACATTGAAAACATATACCTAGGAATCGTAAAGTGCATGAATATTATTGCCTTCTAAAAAAATGGCTAAAAATAGCCAGGCTGAAATTAGGTGTCTTAGTAAGATCAAACCTTATCAAAACAATATCTGCAAAGATTGGCTGCCACCACCAGCGACCCTGCGAAATAATTGTATATTACATACACTGTATAGATCTGCTTATTATTGTTTTTGACTTAAACCACATGTATTTAGTAAATAGATATGAACTTTCTAAGCATAAACTGAATGAAATTAAATAATGAAAAAATAAGTATATTCCCTTATTTTGCGTGGATGGTGTAGAGAGGGGGAGGGGCACTAAATTGAAATACCCACATTTTTTTTGTTTTAACAAAAATTCATTGTATTTTTAAGGGTTGACTTCCCACCGTCCTAAATGTTTATGACTGGATTTTATCCTATACACTGGACAGGGTGAACCAAATTAGTTGTCTCTTATGGGGTATATTGCAAAACCAAAAAATATTAATGTAGAAAAATTTGATCAATATGCAAAGAAACGGCAAAATTATTTATAGATTTGTATGGGTGGTACTATGTGCTGGGCGCCCATCCACAAAATTCCCATGCACGGTGCCAACATCATTAAAAATTTTATATTTCTCATTGGTAGTTTTTCTGAAGATGCGAGAAACCAATATGTCCGCCATTATAGAGTTTCACGCAAGAAAATGTAGCTGAAAAGCTACAAACGAGAAGCTTTTTCCCTGCTTTCAGTTTAATATGAAATTTACATTTGTGGTCCCTTGTTTATTTTTTTTTAAGATAGAGCAAGAAAAGTGCCGTTTTAAATTTCTTTGCTTTGCTCCATGCCAGTTTTTGTCATAATTTTGGTTTTGAGAAAATTTTCTTTATAACGATTCACCAAAAATAATATTATCTGGTTCCCTGTTTTAATGTCTTTTTTTATTTGCTTTTAAAATACACGTACTAAAACAGAACCTTTTTGGAAACACATCCCAAAATCTTTTTAACATTTTTTTACGTCTTTCTATAGCAGTCTTTGTTATAATGTGACAACTCAAAGTGGGTCTAGTGTGTTAGAAGCAAGTTTCTACCTTAAGGAAAAATGTAAAATAAGAAAATCGTCGTTAGCCAAGTATCTTTAAATTTGGTATAGAGGTTTAGATGATGAATCTAAATAATTTGTTTTAATAATAGATTCTATATATAAATAGGTTATTCGAAAACTGAAATAATGTAAGAAGTTAGTCTTTAACCAAGCAATAAATTTAATTTGATTTTTTTCCTTAAGAGCTGTTTTGCGCATCAGCAATACACTATATTTAAATTTTTCAGTAAACAATTGTCACCAGTCTCATTTTATTTTAAGTTGTTTCGTATATCTATACTTATATCAAACCGAAATAAGTAATTAAAATTAGTGAAACATAAAATTTATTGATTTTAAAGCGAATGTCTGAGTTTTCCTATACTTCAATCCACTGTGACGTACAAACCACATAATTGAAGAAAAAACAAAAAAATGCATGGAAATCTTTTATAAAATAACTGGTCAATGACAATGATCCCCCATATTAAGTGGAAACCCGCATTTATTTATTTTATTTAAAATAATAATAAGCAATCCGTAAAATCCTTATACATCTCTTGGAAAGATGACTTAATGAAGTAGAGTAAGCTGAAAGATGAAAATAAAGCAACAACTTCTGGATGATAACTTTGGTTGTGATTGTGAAAATAGAGTTTACTTTTTGGACACGTTCCTCTGCCAAAGCAACATTTCAACTGAACTTGCGATATTGGTTCATTGGATGAAGGATTTTCATATACAATATCCTCAGAAACTGAATGTATGGGCCGGAACATTGTGTGACAAAATAATGGATCCACCATTTATCAACGGTGACTTAACCACTGAAAAATGCATAATACATGAGATAATCTCAAAAATTCGTACTATTGCTGGAACAGCCTTCCATAAAGTTTGGGTTTGTGTCAAACACGACTTTCCCCTTGAGCTGTATTGATGGAAGGCTCACTAAAATCAGACAAAACCAGTGAATTATATCGAGGAAATCCGCAAAAAGTTAACGATAACATGTATGTATGTATGGTTAGAGGCGAGAGGACACAGGGATAAGAAAACTACCACGTCGACGATGTTGTTTCTGGGTTGTCCCAAACTTCAGGAAAGTCGTGACAGTTGTGCTATCCGGAAAGAATGGTACAACTTTAGTGCAGATTCTGAATTGTTATTTACCATCCATAACGGGTATTTCTTAAGAAGCAGAATAACTGGTATTTTTTGCGATTGCAACGCCATCTACCGACAATAAAAACTCTTGAAAAAAGTTTTTGTTGAATGTCAAATTAAGATTTCAAAGTTGCCTCTGTGGGTAAGGGTGGGATCACGTTTGCTGTCTTAGACCAATTATTTTATTCCACCACTTCTCGAGACATTCCAAAGATTAGTTTTTGGACTTATCGGTACATCTCGTTTTCGCTTACGTTTCTTTCTGTTGTTGACGAACGTCGGAGGCGGTTTCGCTCCGAGCACGTCTTCCAGCTTGGCCAAACTCCTTTGCTTGGTATCCGCATAGATCTTCTTCAGTTTGGTAGCGCATATCCCTGTGTCGCTGGTTCTGCCGTAAAATTTGGAAAAGCTGACAAATAGGCGAGTGATATCTTCGTCGAACGCCTGGGGCGACTTGTAAACGCCCGTCGCGATGTTCTGCTCGATGGTGGCGATATCTATCGGGTTCGAAACGCGCTGGTAGAACTCGGGCACTTTCCTCTTCGAGGGCAGCTGCATCAGACCGGCGCAGAGGGGCTCGCCGTCGTCGTCTTTCGCGTTGATCAATACGTGGCAAATTTCTTTTAGGACCGCCGCCAGCTTCACGGTTTTCTTCAGCTCCGGATCGTCTTCCGCTTGGGCTATGCGTCTCGTTTTCATGTTTCTGGGTTTCTGAAGGGCGTTTAGTTGATTCATGAAAGCGCTGGTGTCAGTTGGCGTGGCGGTTTGTTGTCTCGAAGCCGTGTTGGAAGTGGTGCTTAAGGATCTATCTCTGACCTTTCTCACCTGGGAAATAATTGAAATGAGCACCCAAATATTCGGCAAGAAGAGAAGGGTAGTACTTTGGCACAGTATACAATGCGGTTTTTTTGATTTATTTATTTATTATTTATTTATTTCACTTATAAACGTAAAAAAAGTATCACATAATCGTTAAAATATATAAAAACTGAAAACGTGGGCGCACTTGCTACAAATTTTTAGAGGTTATAGAGAGGTATAAAACAATTATCTTAAGCGATCAAGTCGGTATTTCTAGAATATTGACAGAATGACGACATGCTCAAACTTCTGCTAATGTAAAATTTTCAGAAAGTTAATTAAACGAGCAAAAGTTTTTGAAAACACGATAACGCATTGTTCTAACACATTACAAAGAAATAAGAAACGAGGAAACAGTAATGATTGAGTTAAAATAAAAGGATTTAGCAACTAAGCATACACTATCAGACAAAAGTAGAGCAACAAACATATTTTTTTTAGTATTGTTTAAATAAAAATTGGTTCATATTTTTTGCTAGTTATGATAAAATACTTTCCTTGAATAGCAAGTAATTTTTCACATTTTGGGTGTACCTTAAGTTAGTTGGTGACAGCTAAATAATAAGTAATATAAATTTGACGAAAATGAAGGTGACAAAACTAAAGCAACAAATTCTATTTAACAGTGTTTTATTTTATTTTATTTCAAAAAGTTGTATTTAACAGTGTTGTATTGTATTCTATTAAAAAAAAACATTTAAACACACATTTTAGTACAATAATAATAATTAAAATTATACCTTAATAATTTATAGAATATCCAGTATTGAGAATTACCTGCTGGCAACGGCGCGGCATTGACTATCAACTTTTGAGTGATATTTTCTGGAAGATTTGTCCAAACTTCATTAATTTTATCTATCAACGAGTGTTTATTTCGAAACATTTGTGTACGAATGCGACGTTCTACTTCTTCCCAGAGATTTTCAATTGGGTTAAGGTCTGGCGACTGTGCCGGCCACTGCAAAACTCTAACATTGTTTTCTGCAAACCACTGTTGAACGAGTTGTGAAGAGTGTTTTCCCACTCTGCAAAAGGGAGCATAACATTTTGCATAATCTCCCTATAAACAAATCGATCCATTGTCTCATTAATGAAGTGTATAGGACCTACTTCATTCCATGAGAAACATCCCCATAAAAAACACCATGTTTAATTGTAGGTGTTACGTACTTAGGGTTAAACCTTGTACTAATTGGTCGCCTCACACGTCGCATTCCATCACAATTGAATATTTTATAGCACGTTTCATCGCTGAATACAACTTTTTCCCAGTCATTGATGGTCCAGTTTAAATGCCGGCGTGCAAAGGCTATCAACCTTGCTGCTCTCTTTCTTGCTGAAACTAGCGGTTTTTTTGCTGGCCGTCTACTGAACAACTTTGAAGCTACTAATCTTTGCACAGTTCGTATACCAACCGTAATTTCTGGAATTTCGGCAATTATTCGAGGTGCGGACTTCCAAGGATCTTGTTGAGTAATTCTTTTAATGCGCCTGTCAGTCAAAACCGTTGTTTTTTTTGGGTCTTCCCGATTTCGGCAATTTTTCTAAGTGTCCTCTGTCATTATACGATGAAATTATTCTAGATACGCTGTACCGAGGTAACATAACCTGTCTTGAAAAATCAGCTTGATTGGTATCTTCCGTAAATGCATTTACTACTCTTTGCTTTAGGTCTTTTGAAATTGGAATTCCTCTTGGCATAACTAGTCCTGCACACAAATGGTTAACTTAGCACAAAATAAACCCAACACAAGTTATTTTTGCATTTACTTTTATTAATAGCGTCTTTTTGAACAAATTTTAGAAATGTTGCTCTATTTTTGACGCGTCGCTAATACGCATTTAAAACTAATGTCAAAATAAATTCATTTGTTTTGTTTGTGATCATCAATAAATCATAGCCTACTTTAATGTCTTCAAATGTATTGTATTTGTATACAATACCTTGCATGTATAATCATAATATTGGGACTTGTGTTAAATATATCTTATTTTTGAAGATGTTGCTCTACTTTTGTCTGATAGTGTATATGGCTAATATCCTAATACAGTTAGTATGGATAATAACTAAGCATATTAGGAATTGTGAGTATCTACTGAATCTGTTAGTAATTTTGTAAATTACTCTTAATTACTAAAAACTGTTTGTGATTTTTCATAATAACTTAACCGTTAATATCGATAACAACTAAAAATATTACAGGAATTATGCGTAACACCTGAACATTTAGTCGTTATGTATACTTGTGAACCACTAGCTCTTAGAGGTAGAAAACACAAGAAAGTAGGTACTTACTTGTGTTTGCAATCTATTTAAATAAGAACGAACAGCTTTTATGATTGACTTAACTACTACTTATTGCAAAACGATTTATTAATTTGAAGAACTTATTCATTATTCTCATACTTTTTTAAGTACTGTTCTTGCGAAACTTTGTACAGTTGCAACTTTGAAGTTTTCAGAGTTAAGAGGTTGTCATCTTCTTTGAACAACAATTTTGCGTTTGTTTTACCACTTAGCTTTTTAATTTCTTCAATACATTTGAACTTAAAACTATCGGCTGCTAGCGAGGTCATTAATATCACAAACACTCGCACTAGCCTATATTTAAAGGCGTTCAGCACTCACTAACTTCTTGGCTGCGATGTAAATTCATTAATCAGTAAGTAGTGACATCTAACTTTGCAGGCACATTAAAACCAAAAGAAGCCAACACTAATCAAAGCTAACTAACGATAACTAAAATATTTGCGAATAAATTATTTTAAATCATTTACATTTATATGCCTGCTAAATCTCCCTACGAAGGCACCTTTAGTAAAAATACGGGAGCCAAGTTCGCTGACAGACCAGACGCTTCTCAGCACCCACGCTACAAAGAAATTGATTTTTTCTACTAACTAATTATTGAATGTAGGTTACTAAACTAATATTGAAGGTTGCGTATTTGACTACAACTTACAGCGCCGCCACCATTTTTCTATATATATTTTACATACACAACATTAAGGCCAAATTCTCAAGTAAGTATTTGCATACTAAATAAGTATTAATCGTACGTTGCTTTTCTTAGATAATATTCTCAATTAAAACCAGAAAAAAAAATATCGTGTCTCTACCGGTAAAAATTGAGTATTTCGGGGTTAATTTGCCCCGGAGTAAAGTAAGCCCATTTTCATTTTCGGGGTTTGTGTCTAGAAAATACCAAAGGAAAGCTGGCTCGCGAAAACGAAATTCGAAACGAACGTATCTCACATAGAACTGCTAAGACAAAGGGCAAGATTCCTAGAAAAACAATCCCAAACAACAATTAAGTGACGATCCCGGGAAGAATAGCTATAGTCGGAAAAGGAACGAAATACTTAGAATTGATAAGGAATGTATCAAAAACTTCAATATCGGGTATGGTTTCTGGTAGTATGGGTGGTGCAATACTACCTCCTTATGTAGTGTATCGAGCCAATAAAATATGGACAAAGTGGACAGAAAGGGGTCCCAAGGGATGCCGGTACAACTCCAGTAATTCGGGATGGTTTGATGCATCAATATTTAGGGACTGGTTGGAATGTCAGTGCATGCATTACAAATATGCCGTCAAAACCAAGTAATTTTAATTTGTGTAATTTGACATAAAAAATCCCACGTCTAAGCGTGGCAGTATTCAGGCCATTGAAAATAGTTTGGAGGAAGATACTATTGGAGTGGAAGAATACTGATGAAGGCGTTCATAACACCCTTTCTTTCGAAAATGGACATTATCAGACAAAAGGTGATGATATGAAAACGGGTTTTCGAAAATGTGGGATAGTCCCCTTAAACCCAAAAGAAGTTCTAGACCACATTCCAAGACCTTCATCCAAACCAGATGATGTCCAAGACAAGTTTTTACAAAAATTTTAAAGCCAACGAGTAGAACTGACAAAAACCGTTAGAAATCGTCAAAAAGAAATACATATTCCAGCCGGGAAAATGTTTACGTTGAGAATCCAGAGAGTGAAGAAATTGCGCGTAATAATAGGACAATACCGGATGGCGAAATGCAGGAAGAAGAGCCTACTATGTCAACTGCGATACAATACAATATTTAAAGAAAACTCTTCAGACGACGTGGATTTTGATGAGCTGAGTGAAGAGCAGGCAAAAAGAAAGAGTTCTTAGACTACACAGAGGGAAAGTCACCAATTTAAAAATACAGTTTGGGAAGTTGCTTTTTCCTATCGAGGGCTGATGTATCTTGGAAATTTTGAGTTTTGATGACAATTATTCGCTCTATGGAAAAGTCACTCAAAATGTGGAAATGATGCCTAAACCAGAGGAATTTTCTTATTCCTGGGACGACGTTTTAGGCTCCTTAAGTTCGCCAAAGCAAGTTACTAAAAGAGGCATATTTGCTGTTCCAGAGTTGAAGGGTATTTTGGATTAGTAGTTCGTCGTTTTTGAAAGTGTACTTTTAATTAAACTATTTGTGCATTCAATAAATTAGCTTGTTTTCAACTATCGTAACGATCATATTTCTTTCAGTGATTTGCTTAGGATTGACACTCAACAATTTTTCTATGCAGTTTTATAATGTATTTTTAGGTTTCTGAAATAAAAATATTTATAAAACACATTTTGTGGCTGTATTTATCAGGTTGAGATATGATTTGTATCAAAGTCAATCAACTACATTTTTTGTACTGGTATTGGTAGACTTTACGCCACTTTTTGACAAAAAATAATATAACACGTATTTTAACTTTTCAAAGAAACTTCCACAGGTTACTGTAATAGTATTTACAATATGATGATTGGCGAAACATTAGCAAGTTCGACTCAACAACAATCGAAGCATGAGGAATCCAAAGTTTTATAAATAGTTATATGTATTTTTTAATTAATTATTATGCGTTTGTGATGTCCAATTGAAAGAGTGATTGGAAAAAAGGTAACATTCCAAAAATATGGCGAATTAAAGTGAGATAGCCAATATATTAAAATTTGTATTCTATTTCTGCTGAGCGCAAAAACGATAAAATCGCCGGCTCCCTTCATATAATAATTTTGTTGTTGAGCGGAAAAAAGATAATATTCCTGGAATGTTATCGGTCTTCGGCGCAATATGATTTACGCGCCCTGTTGACAATCGTTAGCGTCTTGAGCCGATTATTTCACATAGTTTTGCATTTTCGTTGAAACAACAGGTGTTTTAATAGTTAGTGAAGTTTTGATTATCTGTAATTTGAAGTTTGAGAGTTTAGTGAGTGAGTGCCTATTTAGTGATGGTTAAATAGAAATATTAAAGTTTTCTGTATTGCACAAATGTCGGATTCAGAGAGAGAACGTGAAGGGAAAAGGCGAAAGTTGAACAAAAAATGTCACATAAAAGAAAGGATTAGCTAGACAACGAGGAGCACAGTTTGTTATACGTAAAGGTAAAGTAGTTAATGCTAAGATAACCGGGCCGGATTACACGTGCCGTAAAAAATGTATGGCAGATTTTACTATTGAAGAAAGACGTTCAGTAATTGAAATTGTTTATAATGGACGGCCAAAAAATGAAAAAGATACATATCTTATGGGACTAATACAACGATACGTGCAGGGTTGAAGTTTGCCGCAGTGCGTACATGAGTTTGCATGGTCTCTCGAATAAAGTCGTATAACGGTTAACCAAACTAAGTGGAACTGAAACTTCACCATTTGACATGAGAGGAAATTGATGACCATATCAAATCATTTCCAAAAAAAGAGTCATTATTCTTCTAAGTTAATTACCTACTTAGATGCAAGTTTGAACATCACTAAGATGTATGAGCTCTTCACTAATAAAAATCCTGATTTGAGAACTCACGTCACGTATGAATATTATTTGAGACATTTTCAGGAAAACTACGGATACCGGTTTGGTAGGCCTCAAGTCGACGTTTGCTCGACTTGCGAAGACTTGAATGCAAAAATAAAGTCGACTACTCTTAACGAAACAGCAAAGAGGTGCGCAGTTGCAGAGCTTATGATTCATAAAAGACGAGCATCCAAATTATACAAAAAACTTCAAGAAATCAAAGAGAAGAATGACGTTGGAGCCATAGTGTTTGATTATATGCCAGTTCAGGAAATGTTCTATCTGCATTATGTTTTTAACGTTCACAGCCTTGGCAAGGATGTATCGGTCTTCTATACTCATACAGAGGGAGATGCTCAGCGAGGCCCTAATGAAGTCAATACGTCCATTTTGGACTTTATCACCCAACATATTCCTGTAGAAGTCAGAACCCTTCATGTTTTTAGTGACGCGTGCGCTGGGCAAAACCGCAACCATACTCTAACCAGGTTGTTTACAGCCCTGACCACGAATAGCAGATTTGAAGTTATCCATCAATATTTTCCCATTCGAGGTCATAGTTTTTTTGCATTGCGATAGAAACTTTTCTGTTATCAAGCGCTCTTTAAGAAAGTTTGACCGAATTTACTCTCCAGAACAATACAACGATATCATTACGTCTTCCAAGAAGAAAAATCCCAAGTTTGAAGTAAAACGGCTAACAAATATTGACATACTTGATTTCAGAGGATGGTGGCCTCAATACTTTAAAAAGACTGCCAAAGATGTTGAGAAAAAACAGTCTTTTACCGCAAGCAAATACAGGCATTTAACATAAAAGCAAGCAATGAGAGGCTATATCAGGGCATGTGAATTCATTGACGGCTTCACCCATGGTCTTTTCAATATGAAGAAACAAGACAATGTGGTCTTCCCATTTCAAAAGCATAAAATGTGAAAGTTCCTATCTACTATAAGAAGCTGGAAGATATTTCCAAAATAGTTCACTACATACCCGAAGACTACAGGACCTTCTATAATCAAATTCTAGCTAATCACACTACAAATAGAGAAACCAGTGACCCAGAAGACTAAGAAGCATATAAATAATATTCCTTACGATGTTGATTGCTTAAATAGATCAGAGTTCTTCATTAACGCCCTATTTTTTTTTAACTAACTTTTTGCAGTTTGAGTGGAAAAAAGATAAAATTTTTGTACATTCAAATGGCAATATCTAATTACCAAATAGGTGTAAATCGTTCAGACTTTGGCATCAAATGTACTTTGTCAATGTGTACAATAGGTCAATGATAACCATATATTTGTGAAAGTAACGGTTTCGCAGATAAACTGTTTTTTTCGATTTCCCAGAAACAGGCTTCACTGGAATGTTATCCTTCTTCCAATCACCCATTCAATTTACCTATAACCCATTTGGTTCCCAGAACAAACGCGACGGCGACATAACGCACAATGTAAATAAATAAATATAAATTTCATGTGTAACAAATCAACACCCCCACCACCATCTATCCGCACATAAACGAATTAGCCGGCGACCATTGAAGTAGTTACGTAAGGTTCCGCTAGAGTGAGCTACAGGGTACCAAGTAAAAGTAACAAGGTGCTGGTCGAAGACGAGAAGATGGCGAGTGTTGATACGCGTGAAATGTTATTTTACGTTTTTTGATATTTGTTTGTATGTTTGGTTTCGCGTTTAATTACACTCCCAGATTTAACAGTTGCTACACAATTACAATTGACACAAAAAAATTTGACCGGTCAATTTCACATCTCTAATAACTTCTAATGTTCTCAGTTATATGCAAAATCGCCAACAGTTTCAGCAAATAGCATAATTACACCATCTATTATTTAAGGTTTTATGTAGTACTGCAGTACGGGGCTGGCTCGCCTTTGGTAATTCTAGTACTGAGGAAGCAATAAAAATTACATAGAATCCGTTTGGTGTCTCATCTGAGCCAGCGTAATTTTAGAGTTTACAATACCATATGATTTAAACTCACCTTGGTTAGGTTCCGCAACAGGAAACAGTGATGCTCCAGTATGAAAACCTTCTGCTGATGGCTCATCGGTTTCACCTGGATCTGGGGCACGACCTGAGCGGGGGGCGGGTTACCGCCGTTACCGAGCGAGGAGGCGGCGACGCTAGCGGCCGGCACCTCCTTTGCCGCGCACGGCTTCTTCTTGGTCGCCTCCGTCTTCCTCGGTCTACCGACGCGGCCGGGATTCTTGGGCGGCGCCCCGCTCTCCGGCAACTGTCGGATCCGTTGCGTCTTACCGCCGATGACGCCGCGGCAGTTGTCGCTGCCGCACTTGCACTCCTGCCCTTCGGCAGGATTGAACAGCGAAAAGTTGTAGTCGTAAGTCAGTTCTTCGTAGGGTTCGATGTCGCGCAACGCGAACAGCGCCATCCGGAACTGACCGTTCACGCTCCACTTTTGCATTTCGCAGTTCGGTTGACACGAGTGGTTGACGAAACGACCGTCGCCGCCCATACGGTGACCGTCGATGACGAGGCCGCCGTCCAAGTGGAGGCAATAGTGGTGCGTGTCGTTCACGTAGATGCTGTTCATGCGTTCCTTGAACTCCTGATCGGAGACCACCTCGCCGACGTACTCCAATATGAACTCGCTCTGTTTGATCGGTTCCTTCGTGCGCACGCCCCACCCCTTGTCTTCGGTCATGAATTTCTCGATGCCGGGCGCCCACTCGTGCTTCTGGATCTTCTGGTTGTGGCAGCGGTGAGTAGCGGGACACTCCGAGTACACCAATCGGTTGATGCAGTCGTCGCCGCAGTTCGACGACGGCTTGCAGTTGCACGCCTGCGGCTCGCACGTGCCGCCGCTGGTCTTGACGTTGTAAACGTTAGTGCGTATCTTGCGGTAATTCCACGACGGTACCACGTCCCGTCCCGGCAGCTGGGAATGCGTGTGCTGCCACCAGAGATCGTACGGGAGCTGGAAATCGACCCGGCGGCACCTGAGGTACTTGCCGCAGTGATACGGCGGCGGCAGCAGCCCGTACGGATGATCTTCGGGATTGTAAATGAGGTTTCTCAGGGATTTCGTATTCTCCTGCCGTTTCGACCTTGAACATGTAATGGTGACGGTGAACTTCGAATTGCTATTTGACTGTCGTGAAACATTGCCCGCACATTGTTGTATGTATAAACAAAATATTGACTCCCCTGTACGTTTTATAGCAAGGTTGTAATATAACTTTTTGAAGGAAGTTTGAATATATTTTAATAAGCCAATCTACAGTTATCGAATGAAATAGGAATGCAAAATTAGAAAATTCTTATAGTTTAGGTAATAAATCTAACACCGATAAAATACATTTTGACAATGACAACACGAACATTTGTGACAGTAACAATATTTTTATTTGTGATTGTTATACGTTACTTTAATTAAAGCTAAATATGCGTTATTCAATTGAAGAAAAAGTAACCATAATTAAGTGGTATTATGCAGGAAACTGTCTTAGAGCAGTGGCTGAAAAGTTTTCAACAAACAACCAAATGTTCAACATTGGCGGTATTGGAGCCAAGGCAATGAATATATTTTTGTGCATACTTGAAGCCAATGTCCTCAAAAAATAAATTTTATGGACTATACTAACCTCACGGTAAAGACCTATTTGGACTTATTACAAAATCAAATTGAACTCGCACTAGAAGAAATTGTCCACAAAACGCGTAACAGGATTTTGCAACATCAACAAAGCAATGTTAGAAACGAATTTCAATGAATTTTATGAATCTCTTAGGATATTGTTTAACTGTTTGTTAATAGAGTGTTATTTGTTAAAAAATAAAGTTGCTTTTTAGCAATGTTTCGTACCCGCATTTTTATTATACTCAGTTATTTTTAATAAAAGACTTGAGGGTCAAATTTGTAGTCCTTCCTTGAAGCTTCCTTCTGCTTAAACCGTCCCCTAAATGAAATTCCTTCCAAGAACGCTTTAAGTGACAAGGAGGTCTTAAGAACCGACTATGAGTTTGATCCTTAAAAAAAAACAATGATATATTGAATGTATAAAACCAAATGTGCAAAATTATTGTAAACCAACCATTATTTGATACGTCATTGTCGTCAACTTTTGAAAATAGCGTCATGAAATATCCGCTGGTATTTGTTGTACTGAGCATTTGCAATTTTGCCATGATATTTAATTCAATAACTGAAGATTGGCTTCTTAAATTTTATTCAAACTCGGGGAAAGAGTTAATCATCCCAAACCCGTCAAAAAGCTATATTACAACTTTGTTATAAAATGTACAGGGGAGCCAATATTTGGCCATTTAGAAATTTACATGGGATTTCCTGTTCCGTTCCATAATGCATCACCGACTAGTATTGACGAAAACGAGGAGGCTGATAGACTAACCGACCTAACAGGATACTACTAAGAAGGCATTTTCATATTATACAGTGATCGATGACAACACATGCAGGCTGAGTTTAGAAGATGAGGAAACACCAATTTATACCGTAACCACCTGCGAGCCAGCAGGGAAGAGTCAATTAAGAATGCTAGGAGTTCAATTCAACTAACCAAACTTCCAATAAAAGAAGTTTAGACTTTTAGGGGAGGAAGCGCACATAATAAAATATAGTGCCTTGATCATTAGCACTTTGCAAGTAAGAGGGATAGTAGGTAAGTTCCAACAGGAATGAAAATAATCAATCTCTTGTGCGTATCCTTCATGTTTTTGTAGTTATCAATGTAAGTAAATAATACGTTATTTATCCATTTCTTAAAAGAAAGGAATGGAATGAAATATAAACATTGCAAAAAGAAGTACTAAAAGTAACGACATAGGCAACAAGAGTGGTTTTCAAAAAATTTGCTTATGTTTTGGCATTTGGGCTTTTATCAGGATTTTAGCGACTTTCGTAGGTGCTGCAAGTATTCGATTTAAATCACTATATATTTTTTTAGCTACTAACGCTTCAGAAGGTCTAAACTTAATTTAGGCTGTACGCGGTCACAATATAAACAATATTTGTTAAATCCAGGGCTCTACGATATTTACACATTACATTTACAAAATTAGAGGTCCGCCCTATCAGTGAGACTTGCGGATATAGGAAGTCACAGTGTCAAAATGGTAGTACTACAATTGGGACTTTTGATTTTTACTATAAGCGACTTCTCATGCACTTGGAACATATTACTGATGGATGCAGCACTGAACTATTAAAGTTTCTATCTTAACCAAGAGCAAAGTTTTTATCAAAGTTTTGTCAAAATATCTCAAAATTGAAGGAAAAACGTTTATTAAAATAAAACTTATAATCCAAAATATAGGAATGAATTGAATGAAAATAGAACATGATGCAAAAAAATGTAATGTAAAATTTGACGTAGGCGTCGTGGTTTCATCTTATATCTTTTCAAGTTATCGGTTCTGAACCGAAGGAACACATTATGTGTCAATTATCTTCGTTGCATAGCAACAACTTTTTGCATTTAAAATTGTTCGACAAAATAAACTTTCATGGAGGTATTAAAAGATTCCCTAATACTTACAATTTTCTTTCAGCAAGCTGCTATTTGTGAGAAATCAAGGCAATGTTTTCGATAAACTTGGTTGTTGCTATTGCATCCTTTTCTAAATCATTCACGCATAGTAGGAATAACAATATTTCTTTCAAGATAATAAAAGAAGATGAGAATAAATACACGGATGCTGTAACAATCTAGTTTATACAGTAATCGATCATGACCGTTGTTTACGAAATACGGGGGCAATATGCCTACGCAAATTAAACTTGAGTTGGACTCTGGGGACTGCACCGTCATTTACCACAGTAAAATTGTGGGCAGTTAAATTTAAAAGTGGCCGTAAGAGCTTAGGAGATGATGAACGTTCGGGACGTTCAAAAACTGCAACTACTGACGATAATATTGCTAAAGTTCATCAAACAGTGTTAAACGGCCGTCGAATTAACGCGAGAGAGATAGCAGAGGTTATGACAATGTCCCAAAAACCTGTTTGTCACATTTTAAATGAAGATTTCGGCATGAGAAAGTTTTTCGCGCATTGGGTGCCGCGTTTATCCAGGTTAGATAAAAAACGTGTTCGAATGAACGTTTCCGAGTATTGGCACCGATTAATTACAGTAGATGAAACTTGAATACACCCGAATCAAAAATACAGTCAAAACAGTGGACTCTGAAAAAAGCAAAAACTTTTTTTTTGGGCTGGGAAAGTGACGGCGACTGTTTTTTCGAATAGCCATGAAGTCATCTTAATCGATTACTTTCAAGAAGGCAAAATCATTACAGACGCATACAACTCATCATTACTTGACAAGCTGAGGACAGAAATCGCGGAGAAACGGTCGCATTTGCAAAAATAATTTCTGTTTCAACACGTCAACCTCATACCTCAGCGGTTGCCATGACGAAAATCCACGAATTACGGTTGGAACTATGTGACCAGATGCCTTAATCACCAAATCTTGCACCAAGCGACTTCTTTGTGTTTGTTAGACCAAGATTTTCGTCAAATAAGGAGGCAAGGAGGGCGAACAATGATTTTGCTTAGAAAAATGCCGGACACTATTTGGACAGGTTAGAGAAATGAAAGCTTAGCTGGGAGTTACTATGTAGAAACATTTAAAAAAAAATGAGAAAAGTGATCCTCATACTCAAACGTGGCGAAATGCAAATATAAAAACAAAAGAGTTTTTACTTACTCGTCCTCCTTGTAGTAATCTGAAAATAGTCCGGCGACGAGGAACCTCTTTCTCCACCTCGGCACTTTTTTGTTCTTCTTGGTTTCGTCGCCGCTGACGCTGGCCCGGTCATCCCTCATTCGGCTCTCGTTCGACGGGACGCTACTGGCCGGCGACACGTCCCGCTTACGCTTCTTCGCAGCCCCGTTTTCCCCATTGACCACGCCCTTGCACTCTCGGCCGCGTTTCCGCTTCTTGCGATCCAAACGCGACTTCAAGCGCTCGATGGAAGACTCCAACAGCGACATTTCGTGGTCGTCGTCCCCGTCGCCGTCCTTGTCGCCGCCGCCCGCCTCGAAATCCGTTCGCTCCTCCTGCGGCAAGCTCTCGCACTCGCTCATCAGGTCGTCGCCGGGCATCACCGCCTTGCCCGCTTCTATGGCGGCCGCCTTCTTCTCCGAGCTACGCTCCATGAACTTGGTGTACTCCTCGCCCTCCTTGGGCACGCGGTCGCACGCGGTCACCGCCTCCTCCGGCGACGCCGCTTCCGCCGTCGCGGATCTCTTCTTCTTTTTCTTCACGGACGGGAAGCCGGTACGATTGAACGCGCGTCTTTTTCTCACCTTCTTCTTGGTGCTCTCCGGCGACGCTTCGATCTTTTTCTCCACCTCCGGCACCTCCCTGCCCTGCTCGGTTTCAGCCACGTCGTCCTTCTTCACTTCGTCTTCTTCCGTTTCACTCAGCGGCGCGATAGTTTTGGTGAGGTTCCGTTTAATCTTCAACTCGTGTATAAACGACTCGACGGTGATTTTCGGCTTGACTTTTTCCTCCGACGAGGCGACGGTTTCCGTTTTAACGACGGCCTGAGTTTCCGGGCCGCAGCTCATGTTCTCCAGGCGGTGCCGCTTCTTCGGCGTCGTTGTCATCACCTTCTCTTCCGTGATCGCGGTTTTCTCGTCAGAAAATTTCGTGATGCAAGCCTCGATTGCCTCGTCTATGTGGACGTTCGCCTCCTTGGTCTCGGTTTTCAACTCGTACTCGTTGTTATTCGTGTGGTTCTTGATGACGGACACGTGTTTCGGCGTGACCGGCGCCGATTTGTTGACCTTCTCCTTCCTTTTCATCTCCTCCTCCCTCTCCGGCGCCTTGTCTTTCGTCTCTTCCGCGTCCGCTTTGCCGGTTTCGCTGCTATTGCTCACCAAGTGATAGTGTCGCTTTTTGAGCGGCAGCCTCTGCTCGTTCGAATTGTTCACCTTGTTCACAGTCGTGTTCACGCTCTGCTTCTTTTTCTTCTTCTCCACGTGTTCCGTGGTGCGCCTCTTCTTCGTCACTTTCTTCAGCGTTTTCAAGATCTGCTCGGGCACGTTCTCCTTGGGCTGCTTGGTCGCTATCACGCAAAATTTCACGAAATCCGTCACCAACTTCTCAATCTCCTGATTGATCTTCGGATCGCACGCCATCAGCGGCTTCAAAATCTTGAACTTCCGCTTCTTGTGCTTCTGCTTGTGTTTGCTGTGGAATATCTTCGGGATTTTCAACGTGCACGGCTTATTATTTGTCTTGGAAGCTTCTTGCTGTTTACCGTTTTTGGCGCACGCCGTCTTGTTTCTGCTTTTGGCGTTTTTGGAGTTTTGAACGGTCTTATCGGTCGCGCCCTTCGCTTCGGCCGATTCGGTTTTATTTTTGGGCGGTCTTCCGGGTCCCTTTCTCATCGGCGGCCGCCCGACCTTCCTCCGTGGCGGGTACAGTACCTTGTCCGCATTGGCGTACAACACCCTGTCGAATTGATTCGACGTCACCGACAACTTGCCCATTTTCGTTTTGTCTTGCTGCTTTTGGTGTTTGAGAGTTCGCGATCTGTCGGACGCTTTGTTTTCGGCAGACGGCTTCCGTCTCTTCTCGTCCTTGTTCTGGGTGGCTTTCTGTCTAATGTGAGGCGACAGCGACGGCTCGGGACTCGACACGTGGTCCGGACTGTTTTGGATTCCTACGGGGGCAACGAATAGTAGTTAGGTATTTACGTTACCATTTACAAATTGAGGTTACACATCTATAAAACCTTTGGTGTTGATTACTTCACGTTTTTATTGTTCTTAAAAACCTAAGTATAAAACTTTTACCACTGGGACTTTATAGTTAACTCATTCTGTAAAAATTTACCATCCAGCAACAAACTTTTTGATTTAGGAAGCACCTTTGTTTTTGAGGTTAAGATGTTTAATAATTGTTATCAAGCTAAGAAAAACTTTTTTCGTTTGAACAGTTTTAAATAGCATGTTTACCAGAAAAGTGATCTGATGGCAAAATGATTTCCAATTAGTTTTCTGGTAACTTTTAGTTTTATACCGGTTAAGGAGGTTTTTATAATTACCTTTTCGTAACTTATAAGACTATAAGTATTCCAAAATTACCTTAGGTTTTATTGCAGCTGCAATATTCCTATAAAAAGTTTTATAAAAGTTTCCAAGGTGTAATATTACTTGAAAGCTTATATGTTGTTTTGGATTGACAAAAATAGGCATAATTTTTGAAACTTTTAAAAACATTTGAGTGCTCAAAACAATGCCGAATTTTTGGGTCTTTACCATATTTTATGACTTTTTGATAAGAATGTCAAAGTAAAAATTCATTGCATTACAATCACATTTTTCTAAGAGTCATTAAGATGTTTCGCCAACAATTGATAGGTTGTCAGGTTTTATAAAATAGGTAATTAAAACCTAACCCTGTCCACCATAAAACGAAAAATGCTAGTTGGAATAGGAACATTTTGAAAATATTGGGCCACCTCGTTCCATTGTATTTATTTTTCTTAATTTATAAATTTGCCAAAATGTGGCACAGCTACCAGCGCAAATCGAATACACGAAAAATATGATAATTGTGTTGTGAGAGTTCTAACAAGTAATACAATTTAAAACTGACCAAAATGAGGTTAAAGTTATTTTTGCTTCATTAATTATTAATAGATGTATGGTTTGAAAGTTCTATTAAAAGGTTTTTGAACAACGGGGAGCGATTATATTTTTGAAATATATTATATTTCAACATAGCACAGACATAGAAAATGTTAAAATTCAAATTCAAATAACTTTTTCTTTCCATTATCTTGTCTTTTTAACACATCTCGCCTGGTCACAACCTCCGTCAAAACGAGTTTTTATTTAACTAAGACAATTACTAGATTTACTAGACATTTCTAGGAAAAAGCATTAAAGAATGTGGGTGGGACAAAATTCAAAACTTGTGCCTTCAAAAGCAGAATTCAAAAAGGTAGACATTAAATCAACATGTTTTTAAAAAAGTATTTCACAGATGTTACAAAGATTTGACCGGTTTCAAATTTTGAAGATAGTTTTTAGGTTATGTTGCAAAATTTTAGTATTTAAAACTTTTCTCAACAAGTGGGAGGTGGCATTATACTTAAAATGTAAGTTTTTATTTACCTTTCATTGTTTAACACATTTAGTTTGCAATTTCGATATTTCTTAATTTCCTGCCAATAATAATAATAATGATAATAATCCTGGAAAAATTTAGTTGAGCGAACACTCCAATAAATGCAAATAAAACATTATTTAAAGAGTCGAAATTTTAGAAATAATTTATGATTTCACACAGATTTCATTATGTCTACCAAGACCTTCTTTGAAATCGAAAAGCAAGAAAACGCGGAGCCCTCACCGGAATCAGGACTAACGTTGGGGTTGGTGCAAAAATCTTGCGACCTCACTTCCGCGACCTTCGACTCCGCCTCCTTTGCACCCTTTTTCGGACGACCCCGCTTCCGTTTGGGGTGGTCGCTGCCCGCTTCGGCCTTGCTCCCCTGGCTATTATCACAGATGCTCTCTTTCGCCGACACTGTCGATGGGGCTACGCCCTGGCACTTCGCCCCTTCCGAGTTACCAGCCGTCGATTGGCAGGGGTTCGCGACCACTTGGGTCTCGGCGACGAACTGTTGCAGTATCCGATTGGCGAACAGGGTTTGCGGGTTGGGCAGCTGGTGGCCTTCGCCGTCGCTGGAAGATTCGGTGGTGCGCTCGATGAGGGATTTGATCGCCTGCTGGGGCAACTCCATGTCCGAGCCCGACATGTCGCCCGTAGCGGGAGAATCCTGGAATGTAAAACGCTATTTTTCACGATTTGTTAGCTGTTTGCAGTGACAGCAAGATAAGATCATTAAAATCTAGAAGGAAAATATCATTTTATGGATTCCCTGAAGTTGGAAAACTTAAACAGATCTGCATTTAGAAATGTAGGAGAAAGGATAGAACAAAGTCGATTCGTAGGAATTTAAACGAATCCTAATCCTGTTATATGATGCACGCAAATTAGTCTTTAAAATAGAAGTAAGGTTTGATATGAATGTTCAGAATGCTATTATACTATATACTATAATATACCATTCCTGTGCAAAAATTTTCTATTGATGGTTTTTCAATTAAACGGTGAGCTTTACAGCAAAAATAGTTCGGACAAAGATTGTAGATCATCCGATTCTCTACAAAAAATGTCTCTACAGTTTTTGTCATAACGTGATATAGCGGTTCAAAGAATTGAAAAAAATATTTTATTCGTAGTATCCACGTTAATGCACTTTTACATATATTTTTGAACCGTTAATTGAGTAAAAATATGAGTCTCAATGTCTTATACATACAAATTATAAAATTCTTAAAATATAAATGAACGTCAAAAACTTCGCCCCTATTTTTATTTAGCCGCGTCGCGTTGAGTAACATTTGTCTTACAATCAATTGCTCGTGTAACTACTTCGTCTCAACAAACTACTGTTAGTCGTGAGCATTCCTTCGTAGTTACTAGCGGTGACTCGTGGCTATCGCTGATATTTTGCAACAAAGTTGTGCATTTTACTGTTTTTTTCTCCTTTCTATCCACGGAGCTCAAAAAGAGCCACCTGCCTTGTTAAACTTCCATACTTATCTTTTGCAAATAAATCTTACAATAAAAACAAATGTAAATCTCTGCTGCGACATCTATTCCGGGTATATCATCAAGTTCAAATACAAAGGTTGGAAGTTAGTTGTAAATACATTTGAACCAATTCATACGTAACTTCCTCCTACACCAGAAAAACTCCTTAATAATTACAGTTGGAAAAAAGGGTGCAATGTTAAATGAGGCTTTAAAAATGTTGGCCTGTTTTGTTCTCTGTCAAGGACAATCGTGCTCGAATGTTGAATCGATACTATCCAGCAGGAAGAAGAAGAAGAAAGCGAAGACAGTACACTAGTAGTTCCATTGGAATATTATAAATTACATAATTTACACAGCTTTCACCATTTTCAATATTCCATTTGAATTTCATAAAATATTTTTGACTGCAATAACTAGTTAGCTACTTAAAAAAAATTATATTAATTACTGCGGTTGCACAGCCTGATTATCTCATATTTCTAGAGTGTGGGCAAAAAACAAAGCCCTGAAATATAAAGACGACATAATTAAATAATTATTTCATAATGCGTAGTTTAATACATTTTTATATTCCTTCGCTGCTGCTTTTGCTCCAAGATGGTTTCTGAATAATAATAATAATAATAATAATAATAATAATAATAATAATAATAATAATAATACCAACATAACAATAATCAACAATAATTTTATATTCACATGAAATTAACATTCATTCTAGGAAAATGAAAAATTCTTAGATTTTTTCTGAGGAAACGGAAAACTCTATGACCTCGCCTGACCGGACAATGGCAAATTGACTGTGTTAGTTTAAAACAATTATCGATTTTGAACTATGTTGGATTGAGTGTATTGGCACGAACCCCAATTAAAAATTATCTTATCAGATTGTCAAGTCCTCTAGAAGTATCCTCTGGAGTCCCTCACGGTTCTATTTTCGGACCTCCGTTGAGGAAAGAGTGCTAGGACATCCTAATCTGTTTAAGTGCAAACTATAATGAAGGAGTGCTAGGATATTCTAATGTGCTTGAGTGCAAACTATAATTGAAGAGTGAAAGGATATCCTAATGTGTTTCAGTGCAAACTGTAATGAAAGAGTGCTAGGATATCGTAGTGTGCTAGCATACCAATTAAATCTGGGCGATGTCAATAAAGTGCGGCAGACTAATGAGAGTGTTACCATCCCACCTAATTACAGAACTTAGATAAGTCTAGACTTAATAATCACATAGACAAACAAGCCCTAGATTTAAGATTTAGATTACTATTAATTGAGATAACTGGAGTGATACCCTACATGTCATTATTCCTTCTATTCACAACAATTGCTTACTGCCCGTAGGGCAGACCCTATTAGGAGTTATAGGATCTTTACAAATTCACAATATTTTCCCAAAATCGCTGTCTCAAGTTCAATGCCGACAAAACTACTGGTAAAAAAGACAATTAAAATTTTTGCAAATCTACAATAATGTATTAAATATAGAAGGTAAACTAATATACACTGTAAAGACCAAATAAAAAATTTTTGGTTAATTTGACATGATGTTGTCTATGGTTCCTACTTAACAGCCCATGATAAGTATAGAATAACAAAGCTACAAAATTCTTGTCCACGCTTGAGCTATGGCATTCGCAAATTTCAAAATGTTAGTTTCACGCTAGTTCAAAACAAGTGGTTAAATATGCAAATTAGCGTTTTTTACATTACGCTGACGATGTCACTAGAATCAGCTTTCAGATTGACGTAGATAAAATTAATGTTAGGGTTAAAGGTACCCTTACGCGTCCAGCTCACTCAATGGATATTTTCAAGCGCTCCTATTCTTATTACGTAACAAAAGTAGTTAAGAATCTACCAAATGAATTTAACATAAATTTAAACTATTAAAGTCTAGATATGCTTTCAAGAAGCAGTTGTACAAATTTCTGTTATTTTTTTGTATATTTTCTTATGCCGGAAACTATATCTCTGCAATGAAGTGAACTACGCTTATGTCTAAATTTATTATTAATTCAATAAAGATCTTTTTATTATTGTTATTATAAAAAATCGAAAAAGACATACTTTTTTTTTAAGTTAAAACAATTGTTTAGTAATAAATATTAATATAAATTTGTATATATTATTTGTGTTTTAGTTAAACAAGATTTGCAACTACTATGAACTGGAATTTTCAATCTGAAAGTACCTAGGCGTTATTTCCTTCATAAACAGAATAATATAGGGTGTAAGCTCTGCAAAATGATTTGGAAGCTTTGGTTCTTGGTGTGCTTCCAATAGCCTACAAATAAAATGTATGGTATTTTGTTACCATGTGAGAATAAAAACAGAAATATTTAATTACATTTTAAACAAATGTAGCGAAAATTGCCGACGTACACTGGTCGAGGGTGCAAAAAATACTAAGTTAGACTTTGACCCCGGTGCTATGGATCAGATCTTAGCGCCACCGTAGGAGTTCCAATGTAATTGCACAAATCTAAAATTGTGTATTTATTTTTTATGGTGCGATGCAATGGTTACAGGAGGATCTCCATTGTGGCTGCCCATTAACTAACACTATAACTTTTAATTGTTATCTGACTAATGTATTATTCACAAGATGTGACACATTTAAAGAATTGCAACATTTGAGACAAAACTATCCTGCAGCAACCCCATTGATCCTGCCTGTAGAGAAGTACTAAAAATGATAGGTTTCACAGTGAGAAATTCACAGTTACAATAGAATTCAGTTTAACAATATGACAACCAATATTTCCATCAATCAAATTGAAAAGAAACACTTTTTTTTCAGTTTTATGTTATGGGTTTCTATCAAGCTAGCGGTTAGTCACAGAATGATTTATTGGAAATGTTTAAGGTTGTTACACTATTAAATTGTTTCATGAAAAACTATGTGGTTCATAAGTGGACTGCTCCGAGTTGGCGAGCAAACTGAATTTTCATATTTCTTCGAGTTAGGGCCCCCTAGTAACCCCATTTATTTATCAAAGCTCCTCTCTATCAGTTAATGATGTTTAATGCCTTCTATAATGATATTGACGATTTCTTTCTTAGGCGCTCATATTATACCACATTAACTAAAAATAATTTTTTGTTACTCCATCTTAAAATATCTTGCATTTAACTTACTTATTAGTAATTTTTTCAATACTTTTGGACGTTCAGGGTTAATGATTTTTGCAAACGCTACGCAGTCATAGTGAGCAATACCTTGGCATTTTTGCACTCGAAATCATTGAAATCGTTACAGTCGTTTTGGTCGGGCAGGATTGCCGCCAAATCCTCCTGTCTGATTTCCTGCAGACTGCAGGAGGCCGGGAGTAAATCGTCCGAGGTTTCAGAATCCGAACTGGAATAGGTCGAACTCCGGGAGTGAGGCAACGATGCCATCTGAAACAATAATTACAAAATATTAAAAAAACCAAAGACTATATAAGCAAGTATAAAAACAAGATTGCTTTCGAAAAATCGTCACTGGACGGAGCAAAATCGTAGCGCGTAGGACGAAGCAGCTTTTTATTTTAAAAAGAAAGAGTTTCGCGGTCTTTTGTAGTAAAGGGACGCACTATGAAACTTTCGCAAAATTGATATAATTTTATTGTGCATACACCCTATATGAAGAGTTTTTCTTGTCTCGCCGAAGTGCGAAGTTACGGCAACCTATGTTAAATATTAAAATTTGTACAAATAATAGCGTTGTAGAATGATATTTTTTCAAATATCTTGCGCGCCCTGCATAACATAATTGACGAAACCTAAAACTTTCTCTCGGCACAGTTTACTATACTGTTCACATACTGTTTACGATACTGTTCAAATCAAATTAACGCATCTTTAGCAGTTTTTCATTTAGCCCCAATAATTTAGCCACAAAAACGGAAATTTTTAGGATGTTTTAGATTTTTTCCCATAAACGACACACCCTGTATATAACTCAAACAATGTTCGAAAAAGAGGTTCGTTCTAGCCCTAGATCTCTCACGTTTCCTGGTATATGATTTTTTCCAATAGAGTAAGTGGTTTTCAAGAAAATACTTGTTTTCTCAAAGAATGCAGTACGTGGTAATGGGAAATGACGTCATCGCGTCTAGATTGATGGCGAGAAATGGTGATTTTCATTTGGATTTTATCAAATATCTCGAACAGCGTATGTGATAGACGAAAACCGTAAATACAAAAATTATAGCTCTCGATGTGGCCTGCTGTTTAAACCAATTGGCCATATTTTTCACCAATTTTGATTTACGGGTAATAATTTAATAGCGAGAAGAACGATTTTCAGGGTCTTAGATGTTTGTCTATAATTGAAAAACCCTGTATATAATGGAACACATGGCTGAAATAAAGGTTATGGTCTCGGATCTTCCGCATTTCCTGGTGTACAAATTTTGCAGATCGGGTTAATGGTGTTCGAGAAAAAAATTTTTTCCTGGATGACAAAATATAACAAACAAAAAATTCAAAAATAACAAAAAAAAAATACTTTGCGAGAATTGAGTAAGTACTTTTTCAACAGATGAAATGCGGGTGTGGACTTCTACCCTTCTGCCAAATCTGAACTCGATAGCTGCAAACTTAGGACAGCTGTTAATTTTAGAATATATAAATATAAATATATATTGAATTTTTAAATACAAAAGTTTTAGCTGTTTATGCGGGCTATATCGCCATGTAAAACGGACTGACATCCGAAGCAAGGTCTTTTAGTTATAGTCAATTTTCTATACTGGGACCCATTTTTCAGTTTTTTTGAATTTGCTGCGCAATGTACATTTTTGAAACATTTTCAGATAAAATTTTATGGAGCCGAATCTTCTGCGTCTTCTCGTCCAAGAATTTTTTCGGTTGCATTAACGATTTTCGATAAATGAGTCATTTCTTAGACCCTTGCACCCTTTTAAAACACTCCCCCCCCCCCCCCCCCCAAAAAAAATTTCAATAGGTTCCGTGAGAGAACCAAACGCTATTTGCCTGCCAAATTTGAAGTCGATAGCTTCAAATCTAGGACACTTATCGTGTTTCATAGCAACATCCAAAAATCAGTCGAAAATCGAGAAAAAAAAAAAGACGCCGAGACTTGAACGTAGGCTTTTTACATATCTTATGTACCCCGTGGACGGTTAAAAAGGAGCAAAATTTGAAGCGCGTAGCTCAAACCGTTCGGAAGTTATCGTCGAAAAACCCTGGAACTGAAAACCGAGAACGGACAGACAAAAAAAAAATGTTTTTCGACGTTGCTGACTTCTGTACCAATGGCGGTTTCCTCTAGGACCTACCGTTACCGAGATCGGGAGTTTAGATCGATTTTTCTAAAGTAACAACTAAAATTCTTTTGCCTACAATTAATGTTAAGCACTCGACATAAAAAAAAATAATTTAATTATAGCAGTCCAGTTATAATCCATGGTGATATCATGCATTTTTTAAGACTCTAGGGCAAAGTTTATCAACTTCCGAGCGCTTCCCAATACTTTAATACATTGCTGTTCCATTTTTTAGGAGTTGTTTGCAGCATTAATCCCTTACATTAATTAACAATGCCATACTAATGTAATGAAATAAAGAAACAATATTACAATATTCTATTAATATTTTTTTGTACTTAAATGACCAAGAGTAACCCTAACCCTGCAAATTAATAGGCGCAACATTTTGTTTGCTTTGTTGTAGCGAATCGATTAATCGAACGTTAACTTTATCTGTCGGCATAAATGAGTTGACGGCTAAATAATAATTATTTCAACATTAAATCGCTATGGCCCATGCATAGGTATTTTTCTTATAATAAACAATAATAATTAAAAAATAGCCAAAGTATACATCTTAGTATACTATGGCCATTTTTTAATTATTATAATTATATTGTTATTATTATGGTAATCCAAGTTATGTGTAAATAAAAGTGAGATTTTGTTCGTTTAATTTTTAGAAGAAATGGATGACGGAACCTTAATTTAATTACTTGGATCAATATTGAGTGAGAGACTTTTCACTGACCGAAATAGGTATATGACCGAGTGTTTACTCATAATCCCCAAGTATGCAGCAATATATCTATACCATGACTTCAAAAAAAAAAAAAAAAAAAAGATTGCCTGGCATTCATATACAATCCCGACGTAACCAGGAATCAACGAGGGATAAACATTAAAGAAGATCCATATTTTATTTCTCCCTCCTTTCTCTTTTTTCTTAGCAATACACTTTGTTTAAAAAACGATTTTGTGTAAATTCACTATAGCTTCTATTGTACTATTGAACATTGTTTACATTGTTTCAGATTCCACGAATTCTACAAAAATTACACAAATTTCTAAATGATTTTTTAGATTCCGACGATTTTGAAAAAAAAATTAGGTTATAAGGAAAATTTTATTATTTCGTCGTAATTAAAAAAAACAATTAAGAAAAAAATAAACTTAAAATCTTAAAAAAAAAGAGTTTTACCAGTCGTAAGTGTTAAATTAATATATACAATTTTTATAAATTCCAATGACCTTATCCTATGCCTTATATCTTATAACCTTAAAAATGACAAGTGGGTTTGTTGAATTCAACAAACGAACGGACGGAACAAATGAAACATATCTCAAATAAAGTTTGGTTAATTTTATAATACTTATGTGTAGGTGGTAGCACTTTTCTAGTTACCAACTGCTATTTGTCAAAATAGGATAGGGTGCAATCAAACGTCACACCTTAGACGCAATCTACAAATAACATACAAATAGTTATTTAATCACATATTGGACTTTTTACAAGATTAATTTATTATTATTTAAAATTATTTAAAGATGAAAATTTTGAAAACGTTATGATTTTATAGAACCGATACACCAGATTTCACTCTTTAACCCCGCACGTTTACTTCAAATTCAATATATTTGCTGGTGAGGCTTTTTTTGAGTCGAATACAAAAATTGGTATTTCTTCTGTGCTTCGTAAATAAGTCACGCAGCCACTCATTTGCAAATTAATCTTCGATAACAACAGGCAATAAACGCCCTTTTAGGAATTTATTTTCCCTTCTTATACATAATTCTTCCTTCGTCCGATGATACTCGTTAACCTCTTGGGAAAGCTTGACAAACACACACACTCTTGTTAAACATAAAGTTCCTTAAAAACAAAAGTAAACTTTGTTTGATTTAAATTTTTGTCATTCGGATGTCATTGAAAGTAACAATATATTAAAATTTGGTTCAGTTTTTTCATACAAAAATATTGCATAAAAGGAAACATGGGACATATTTAGGAAAAATAGAGAAATACGACATGATACAGGGAAATAAACCTGGAAGTGTAGGGTGCGTAACGGAGCCCAAGAAACTCTACAGCCTCTTGTTGGAGGCTGCACGCCACTGGCGCCGAGCAGGTAAATGGGGAATAATAGAAAATTTCACGCCCTACCATAGGTACTCCCCGGAAGCAGTCATCGAAAATGAGACAGGGCAAGAAAGAAAAGCGATAATCCTGGATTTTCCACCCACTGGACCACAACATGTCTCAAACAAATCAGACAAAGATAAATACAGAGGTCTGGTCAAAGCAGTACCTATGACTAAAGTGGGAACTCCTAATTCTCCCGTTCATCATAAACTTCACAGTTAAAGATCTAATAAAAATCAACCTTTGAATCGTAACATTAATGTGGATGCAGAAGGCTGGGGACAGTACTCATCATCGGCTAAATTGTTTTCACCTGATCATCGCTGCTCAATTGTGAGAAGATCCACATTTGTGTGAAATTAAAATAATAATAATAAGCAATGTATAATTAACTTGCGCGTCTAGTGGCAACGGTTTTCGATCCTCTGCTACTCTCTGCTTTTAAAAGATAGACTCTACGTGTTGCCTAATTCTCCCGTTTTACAGGATTTGAAATATTTACAGCTCAAAATTAATTCTTCTTCCTTAGTCGTTAGAGTTTGTTACCAAAAACCTGAACGGGAGACGTTTCCGAATTTTCGGGAAAATACATACGTGCCGACTCAGATGCCGAAAGCCGAATCGTCCACATTCGAGACCGACCGAAACACCGGCATCGCGGCGAAAACTACCCCGTCGAAGGAACGCACCAAACGCACCAACAAGCATCAACAAACGGGGACGGCGATTTCCACGAAGCGGGAAAACGAAAACGAGCGACGGGTCGGCGGGAAAACATTGCCGAACTGGCCGCGTACGCACACGCGAACCTCGGCGCAACAATCGAATCAAAAATTTATGCACACGGAAATAAAATACCGACCGACGCGGGAAAAAAAAAGACGCAACCGTCGCGCACAGAGGGCAAAATTCAGCGTTCGACACGCAAACGTACGGCGACTACGTGTGAGCGCCGGTGGTGTCTTTCGACGGCCACAATGGTGGGAGGGGGGAAACTTTAA